AATCTTAGCTGGTGTTAGTGAGGGTTGTATTCCGTTTAATCTTAGCTGGTGTTAGTGAGGGTTGTATTCCGTTTAATCTTAGCTGGTGTTAGTGAGGGTTGTATTCCGTTTAATCTTAGCTGGTGTTAGTGAGGGTTGTATTCCGTTTAATCTTAGCTGGTGTTAGTGAGGGTTGTATTCCGTTTAATCTTAGCTGGTGTTAGTGAGGGTTGTATTCCGTTTAATCTTAGCTGGTGTTAGTGAGGGTTGTATTCGGTTTAATCTAAGCTGGTGTTAGTGAGGGTTGTATTCCGTTTAATCTAAGCTGGTGTTAGTGAGGGTTGTATTCCATTTAATCTTAGCTGGTGTTTGTGAGGGTTGTAAGATCATAACTATAGTTACTGTTGAGGATTGCATTCTTAAAGATCTTAGCTAGTTCTGTTGAAGGTTGTACCTCAATACATAGGGGTTAAAAGTAAGCATTTTAAGACTAGAAAAAAAACTTTTTTTTTGTTTAATATTTCTTAAAGAAATCTGTTTGAAAAATTGCAAGGATCTGATTAAGCTTTGAACAAACAAGAAGGTTTTCTTTCTATTTAGAACAAACAGGTGTTTGGATTATAAAGATTCAGTCTACTTAGAAATAAAAAGATACATAATAAAAAAACTGAGTGCTAAATCTGATATATATCATTTTTTTCAGAGATCATTTCAGACAAGTTTTCCCTCAGTTTGCATAATTGAGGTATCATCTTTAGTGTATCAGAGAAGGTTGTACAAGGTGGTAGAGTTAGAGCTACAACTGTTAGAGATGGTAGATTGTGTAGACGGTTGTACAGGGTGGTAGATTGTGTAGAGGGTTGTACAGGGTGGTAGATTGTGTAGAGGGTTGTACAGGGTGGTAGATTGTGTAGAGGGTTGTACAGGGTGGTAGATTGTGTAGAGAGTTGTACAGGGAGGTAGAATTATAATGCTACAACTGTTAGAGATGGTATATTGTGTAGAGGGTTGTACAGGGTGGTAGAATTATAGAGCTACAACTGTTAGAGATGGTAGATTGTGTAGAGGGTTGTACAGGGTGGTAGATTGTGTAGAGGGTTGTACAGGGTGGTAGAATTATAGAGCTACAACTGTTAGAGATGGTAGATTGTGTAGAGGGTTGTACAGGGTGGTAGATTGTGTAGAGGGTTGTACAGGGTGGTAGAGTTAGAGCTACAACTGTTAGAGATGGTAGATTGTGTAGAGGGTTGTACAGGGTGGTAGAGTTAGAGCTACAACTGTTAGAGATGGTAGATTGTGTAGAGGGTTGTACAGGGTGGTAGAGTTAGAGCTACAACTGTTAGAGATGGTAGATTGTGTAGAGGGTTGTACAGGGTGGTAGAGTTAGAGCTACAACTGTTAGAGATGGTAGATTGTGTAGAGGGTTGTACAGGGTGGTAGAGTTAGAGCTACAACTGTTAGAGATGGTAGATTGTGTAGAGGGTTGTACAGGGTGGTAGAGTTAGAGCTACAACTGTTAGAGATGGTAGATTGTGTAGAGGGTTGTACAGGGTGGTAGAGTTAGAGCTACAACTGTTAGAGATGGTAGATTGTGTAGAGGGTTGTACAGGGTGGTAGAGTTAGAGCTACAACTGTTAGAGATGGTAGATTGTGTAGAGGGTTGTACAGGGTGGTAGAGTTAGAGCTACAACTGTTAGAGATGGTAGATTGTGTAGAGGGTTGTACAGGGTGGTAGAGTTAGAGCTACAACTGTTAGAGATGGTAGATTGTGTAGAGGGTTGTACAGGGTGGTAGAGTTAGAGCTACAACTGTTAAAGATGGTAGATTGTGTAGAGGGTTGTACAGGGTGGTAGAGTTAGAGCTACAACTGTTAGAGATGGTAGATTGTGTAGAGGGTTGTACAGGGTGGTAGAGTTAGAGCTACAACTGTTAGAGATGGTAGATTGTGTAGAGGGTTGTACAGGGTGGTAGAGTTAGAGCTACAACTGTTAGAGATGGTAGATTGTGTAGAGGGTTGTACAGGGTGGTAGAGTTAGAGCTACAACTGTTAGAGATGGTAGATTGTGTAGAGGGTTGTACAGGGTGGTAGATTGTGTAGAGGGTTGTACAGGGTGGTAGAATGTGTAGAGGGTTGTACAGGGTGGTAGAGTTAGAGCTACAACTGTTAGAGATGGGAGATTGTGTAGAGGGTTGTACACGGTGGTAGAGTTAGAGCTACAACTGTTAGAGATGGTAGATTGTGTAGAGCGCGGTGCAGGGCGGAACATTAAGAAAAGGGTTGTACAGGGAGGTAGATTGTGTAGAGGGTTTTACAGGGTGGTAGAATTATAGAGCTACAACTGTTAGAGGTGGTAGATTGTGTAGAGGGTTGTACAGGGTGGTAGATTGTAGAGCTACAACTATTAAAGATGGTAGATTGTGTTTTAGGTTTTACTTACTGTATGGTTTCTCAATCAACTGCATATAACAACACCGGAAAATAACACTCAGGAAATAATGTGTGCGGATATCAAAGAAAACAGGAGTTATGGCACCGGAACTCTTCTCTAACTGGTGTATATGATGTATATTTTATGTAGTGGTCGTTGATTGACTTGAAGTAGATTGAATATCCAGAGATTTTTGCGCGTAAATCAACACATAGTGCTGGTGGTCGGGGTATGACATAACTGGAGTCAACACAAGGCTACTGGTGGTCGGCAGTAAGTGTACACTAATTGTACTTACCTGACACACACAATTAACGATCGCGTTTCAGGTGATGGGTTGATGGGTATACAGATTAACACAAACATTCCTATGGGATAACTTATGGTGTACAAAGTGTACAAAGTAGAAAATCAACTAGCTCATAAGTCTGAATTAAGTACTATTGCCACATTGAAATGAGAAGTCTGCTGAGTATTACTCTGTGGGTACATGATAAATTGGCGCTTCCATGTGGAACATGGTGCTGATCTTAAACAGAAGCCACCTTTGATGTTGATATACTGATATTTATAGGCTATTTCTCTGTTTATTTTCAGATATTTACGTGGAAACTTTTAGAAAATCTATACTACAGAGATAAGAAATTTTCGATTGAAGTCCATGACCCAAAACGGTAAGTCTATGTGAATTAATTGTAAGAGCACATGGTAAAAGGGAGATAACTCTCAAAAAGAAAAAGACTTTTTTTTTGACAAACACAGCCTGATTTGGTGTTGGCATGTATGTATTCATTGCCTGCTATCTCATGTTTACTTTTTATTTGATTTTGATTTGAAAATTTATTTTCTGTTTTCTCCATACTCTTTAGAGTAGCTTTGTTTTATGTTTTTAGTATCAACACATTTCACCGACCAAAAAAACAAAAACAAAATATATTTATCATTGTCAAGCCATTAGTTAAACTATATGAAACGAATCAAAATTGTCTACATTTTAACCTGAAGATTTAAAATAAAAGTTTTAGCCTAAAAATGAGCTGTTATTTTGTTGTAAGCTTCTGTTGCTAGTTTCCAGTTTTAATTTCATAATTACAGGCCACATTTTTGAAAAATATTTTTTTATTTGCTGCCTAATTCTTTTCAGTGTTATGATCAATTATGAATAAATAACTGTTTTGCTTTAAAAACTAAAAGTGAATCTTTGTGTGAAAATAAAACAATATGAAATGACCTACATGATTTGAAATAGGCTATTCTATAAGAGGCTCAAATGTTCTAACCATTGTTATTGGTAGAGCTGCATTGCTTGTGTCTGGGTTTCATTGCTCGGTGTTGTTTGCTAATACTGAAGGCTTATTGTATATTATTGTGTATCTTAACCTCATCCTCATGTGTATACAGTGGTGCAGGGGAGACAACTCGTAACTTAGGTCTTGGAGAAACAAATCTAAACCTCTGTACATTGGTGAAAGCCCTGTTTCTCAACAGGAGAGACAGCTTTGTATGAATACCCTGTACTGCCACAGGGGAGATAACTCTCCAATGCTAGAGGGTAGATAACCCTATAATAGTCTGTTGCATAGAAGCCTCATACTTTGGACTGTATGCTAGAACTTAGTGTTTTGTGGTAAAGGGTAAAAAACAAAATATTTATAACCAAAACCATTTATTGGTATTCACGAAGTAGATTGGTGTAAGGGCAGATAACCCTGTATATCCCCAGCCCATGTTAGAGGGTGGATGTCCAATCATTAACAGTATGACAAGTGTGTTTATGTTTGAATCAAACAACGACTGATAGTCATAGTGGATATTTTAGTTGTACAAGAAAACCATGGAATTCATAGTTTCATGTGTAATTGTTTAAGATGTAAGTATAAAAGTACAGTAATTTGGTAAAGGTCTGCTCGGATAAAAGCTGGTTATAGTAGACAGGATATACTGTAAAATACCAAGGTGCTGGACACACTCTATGTGTATGTAGTGACTTTGACCCCTACCTTGTACCTATTGACCCCAACATGTCATCCATGTAGATAGTGCATGTGTATGTATGCTGGCGTGTTGTCTTTTGTAGCATTATACATACGCTCAGCAGCTTTAATCTCTATGAGGACGCCATTAGAGAGCCACCCGAGGAATTTGATGACCTTTCCAACGCCATTTCTGACCCCACAACTCAGTAAGTACTTAGATATCCCACCAATCAAAAGATGGCTTACATCACTCAAAACCACTGACTGGTCAACTGGCATCGCCTTATCCTTCAAATTAAACGGCAGCTTTCCGCACTGAAACACTGCAAACAGATATTGATTTACACATGATAATGTAAATATTTTGATGTTCTTATTTTTCTCTCTCGATTTTATGAAATGGGAAACTGTTTATTATTTTCTATTTGGTCTTGAAAGAAAGACATCTGTTTTCATAATTTTCTGTTCAGATAACTAAAGTACCCTTGGCTCTCAACTGGCACCTTTTGCATTTTGCTTTTTAACCAGATTTCACAAAATTTTGTTCATACCAATCATCCTGTTGTAAAAAATTACATATTTCATTTTGCATGATGGCATGATTTGCTCAGAGATGGAAAGAGAATATTTATAACTATGAAAGAAAGTTAAATATGATTAACGATGCTTTTCTTTTTCTTTGCATATCTTTTCATTTTTAGTGCCTTAAGACAATGCAAGCCAATATAGAAATCTGTCATTCTTTAAAAAAAAACACTCCTAAAAAAAACACTCTTTCACAAGAAGTTTATGAACTCTGTCACCCCTACATTTTTTGAAATAGACTTTTCCAGTCCTTGATTTGGTAAGATTCAAATGTGACTTTAGGGGTGATTTATCCCTACCAGATACTTCCTGTGGTGAATGGATAATACCAAACAAATGCTGGATACATGTAGAACTGTAGAATTGTCTGTTACCTACATCAAGTAATATCAGTCTGTGCTCAAACTAAATCAGGATTTCGCTGTCCATGGTCAAATAAAACATATTCGGCAACATTACTATTGACATACTTAGACAGTGTTCAACAGTCGTTCTCCACTGACGATAAGTGGGGCCTACTGTATCAGACCTTTCATCATTTCAAACTGTTTCATGCTTCATCCCAGTTTTGTGTTGCGTCTTATATCCGATGTGCTTTTGCTAGTGTTGATTATTTTTAATTTGCTTTGATGTATTTTTTGTTTTCTTACTTTATATTTATTTTACTTTTAGTGCTTCATTGTTTACTGTTTCCTACTCACTGTATATTGTATATTGTTGTACTTTGTATACCGAAGCGGTATTACAACGGCATTAACAAACAGCTGGGTATTAAAGCATATTTTGCATAATGGTTATTGTGGCGATTCAATAAATATGTCCATTAAAAAATGAAATAATTTCATCAATACATTTGTATGTTTGTAGGGTACCATACAGAAAGTGATGTATTTATTACAGGATGTCTGTGCAGTGTCCGTACTGTATGCACAATATGTTACTATGTAGTGTTTACCTCTGGATGTATTATGACATGGCTCTGTTCATTAGGATTTTTCTTATCAAGAGCAGAACATTATTACAAATGAAATGTTTTTATGACACTTTATAAACCTGAGAACCATCTCTATGGGGTATGCCGTGTTGGAACTGTCACATTCAGCATCACAAATTGAGGTTAATTGTAACATTCTTTTGTCAGTAGCATGATTTCTGTATATTCTAAGAGGAATTGTAATAAAACTGTAGAGATGTCAACCACAGCCTGGCATTATGACATGTTTTTCTTTAGGACATTCACATAAAAGCCAGAGTTAACAATTGAGGTTTTACTGGTAGTTAAAATTTTGGTTTTTGCTTTCGTTTTGCTTTTTTTGAGCCTATTTTCTTAATTTGATGAAATATTTTGATGTTTTTTTAAAAATAGTTATTATCACTAGGTGGTGTACTTAATGGTATTTTATGGACCATCATGTCAAGGATACAAAATAGAAAAAAAAATGAACGTTTTGCTCGTAAAGCTCTTCTTCATTTCTTTAAAACAGTATTTGAGGCTTTTATCACAAATAAAGGCTGATTACAATGTAATTGTCCTGAGCATAAATTCTATGTAGCTGAAGAAATTTGTGACTTCATTTTACACTTATGTAGATTCTAGAGGCAAATACCCACACTCAACGGTCAAGGTAATCTATTAAGTTTAAAATTTAAATCAAACTCTTTTGTCTGCAACACAATTTCTTCATTATTGGAGTTTTTTTAAAGACTCCATAAACATGGTATGTGGGATTTTCCAGACCATTGCAAAAGGCAACAATTTATATATTTTTTCAGGTAATATTTTGGCAGGGCCAGATCATGATGACTACTGTTTTAACTTACTGCATTTACAATATGTCTTTTTCTTGTGTTAAAGGGTGTCAGTGAGCCGGCGGACGTTTGGTCCAGGGAATGTTGTTGTCCATGCTTGGTTCGGTGCAACACCACAATTGACAAAATGTGTCTGGTCTATGGCCGTAGCACAGCACCAATTCTATCTCGACCGTAAACACAGCAAGGTAAGAGCACTGATTAACTCCCCTTGTAATTTGATATATCGTAAAATATACCACAGAAATTGAATGAAATAATTTCTATCGACTACCGCTGCATTAATATTAAGAACTATGCATCATAGTGATCTTTTTACAAAATTTCTAGTAATGTAGATGAAGAAATAAATATTGTGCAGGTCTTTGTAAAGAACGATTGCTTGGTTTGCACATCTCATATAATGGAGGTTAAAGAAAGAGGTGATCAAGGTTTCGTAGGTTACTGCATTTCATTGTTTTCATGTTTGAAACTAAATGTTGGTTTTTCATTGCAGGTTAACCTTCCTTGTTTGCGGAGTGTCAACGAAATTGCTGCCGAGTTGTCACGGAGTACGACATCCTTAGGGTCCTTAGGGTCGGACGGGATCAGCCGTAGCGGCAGCTCAGCCAGTTTACCTAGTCTATCCACTTCAAGATTTGACTGTGAGTTTCACACTGCATGTATTTGTGTCTTTAATTCTAAAATCTTAATTTTGTCAAGTTGTGAAACAATGTTAAGGGGAGATCCTTATATATAAAATTGTTTGTTTTGTTTTCATATTTACATATTGATTCCTGATTGTATGAATCTTTGTAAATCTTTCTAGGGAGAAGGTTGCTTTCTACAGACTATTTGTTTGGGAAAATTTGTGGGAAATATTTAAAAAATGTTAAGATAATGTGAAAAGTGTTCCTGGGGAAGGTGTACGGGCAACAGCAGTTAGAGAGATGCTGAAACACAAATGGGAGATATTACATGGTCTCTTCCAATTAATAAGATGTTTTAATTAATCTTACTGTCTTTCTTTTTTGAAATTCAGTCCTTTTACTTTGCGTATAAAAATCTTTTGAACGTTTACTGTATGAGTTATAATGTTAAATACACATTCTTGACATAGTCAGATTTTTAACAGAATTCATTTTCTAATTATCAATAGAGTACAACATTTCATTAGCTTTAAATAACAATTATTTTCTCAATGTCATGATTTAAAAATGTCAATTTATTATAACAAAAAAGTGTGTATTTACCTTTTGTCCTTATATGCTGACATCTTGCTCTGGGTTAATTTAGGTCCATTAAAGTTATAATTTTACGAGGCATGTATTTTATGAGGTGTATAGCATTGTTTGACCTCCCCCAACACCCACTGCTCTAGTCCACATGGAGTACTTACCTTCTACTCCAGTTAGGGTAATTTACTTGACACTTTGGTAATTAAGTTATAAACTAATTAACAGGTGCCCACTAATTGACTGTGAGAGCCAGGTGTCTTTGTTGACACCTGTAAGCTACAGATGATAGTGGGGACTGTGTCCTTGGAATCTTTGTAAATTCCATGTTGTAATTTATGATTCTATGAGAGTCTGTTATTTTGTTATGTTTATGATGGGTGTGGTGGCATGGGGGGTTGTTTATGATAGGTGGGGCTGCTGACCTTGGGTACACCACAGGTAGACAATTCACACAGGTGTATATTTCACAGGTGACCAAGTGATACTTTAGAGGTTGTTTTGATCTATACGTAACATGCTGGTAATGGGGCCTAATAAAGTTTTACATTTATATGTGTTCTTAATGACTTGATGTACTGCACTAGCTGCAGCCGGCATTATATCACACAGTGCAAACATGGCAGGTAGCCAACATGTAAAATTTTGAGAGATTAAAACAGGAATTAAAATATCTCCTAAGGAAAAAAACATTAAACAGATGTTACACCATTGGAAATAGGATCATTCTGAATAAAAACAAATTTTGCATTTCCATTGGGCATAAAAGAAAAAAATATAATGAGAAATAAACAAGTTCAATGGAATAGGTACTGAGTAATGCTTATTGGTGTGTTTACAATAGCCGAATTGAAAACAATTTTGAATTGCTGTCATGCAACATTATTGGTATTTTATCAAAGATTTTTTGTAAATGAATTACAGGTAAATATTTATAGTACAAGCAAGTTTAAGTCAATTTTGTATTTTTCTTACGAAACATTACTGGTATTTCTTCAAATGAATTATTGTAAATGAATTGCATGTAAATGTTTTAAAGTACAGGTAAATTGAAATCAACTTTTCATTACTCTTGTTAAATACTCTTGGTATTTTGTCAAAAGATTTATTTTACACTATTTGCTTGGATATGCTGGTAGAGAAGGTTATTGCCCCAGTTTTTATCAATGTGGTTGTGAATAGCAAAGGTAGAGATTGAATGACTATTATTTTTCCAGATCATTGACAATAAAAGACTATATATTAATATGGGTTATGTTGATGTACAGTATTAGGTCTGTGTCACACCTTACATATGGTGTATAGGTATAGATACTACCCCTATTGTCTCCTACATGTGGTACCATATTCCCACAGAGCTATTTACACCTGTACCAATGTATAATGGACCCCCTTCACTTCATTAGACACCCAGTATACTTGCCCTACATCAATTAACACACCTTCCTGTTGTTCTGACCCTCAGGTAGCTTATTACCTGTGACCCAATATTGTGTACCCAAGAACTACTCCCCCACTGTCACACTTCAGTGACCACAGTGTGTAGCCTAACACCACTGTCAGTGATTATTTGATGGCTAATTGGTATTGTTGTCAATGATTGCCCTGATTTGTTTGTAAACAACCTATTGTAGTCTCATTACCTGTACAAAGGTGTTTCCTGTACAGGTAATTGTTGCCCAATTATCCCTCATTAGATCATTGGCCTGTGCTGGTTCAGTGACCATTGTGGGTATAAGGTCAGATCAGAGGGTCAGTGTGGTCATTAGCTCATTGATCAGGTCATGGTATAGAGGTGTATGTCCAGTCTAGTGTTATCTTAGTGGTCATCTAAAACGATCAGCTTGGACAGTGTAGGGACAGTCTGACAGAAGGACTCAGTCACAGAGTTGCTCAAACTATTACTGACGGTCACTGTTCTCACAGGTCATTGGTCGAGAGGGTTGATTGTTTTGAGAATTCAGTTTATTCCAAACACAACATCAAACGGTACCCAAAGATTTCTTGTACTGGGAATGACATTGTGACATTTGTGTCAATACTGTTGACATCTTGAGGCCGAGACTCTGCAAGCATGGATATCTGTCTTACCCCCATCTCTGATTCCTTCCTCAGTGACTCTGGTGAGTACTATGTTGTCTCCCCCTGAAATTACCCTGTCATTGTTGAAGCCATCAGGTCTATATCAATTGTTTTATGGTTTCAGTGGAAGTTAGACGACTCTGTCCTAAAACTGGTCTTGCCTTTGTCATCATATCTTTACATTACCTTAGACTGATAATATAGTGAAAAAGAAAACCATACATTTCAAGTCAAACTTCTTCTTCAACAGCAGAAAGATGATCATTATATAATATGTATAAGTTATACGTAAGTTTTATCTAAATTTTTACCATTATTCATTGTAATGATATATGACAGCAGTACAGTATGATAAAATAATAATTTATTACACTTCAATGTAGAATGACATTTTAATCACATTTACCTGATTATTATAACCCATTGATTTGTTATATATAAATATGTTTATAATAATAACATACAATCATTATAAAGGGGGGGGGGGGGGGGAATTGATATTATAAAGATAATATTTTCTTTTGCATAAAATATACATGTAAAAGTCATAGAAAATTATACTGTCTTTACTGTCAATTTTACTTCATACTTGCCTACAATTAGTGATAAATTTTGGTTATTCAGCATTGCCTATTTAAAATAGTAGGGAAAATATATAAAAATCACAAAAACATAAACAGGAACAAAAATGATGTGGTTTTAGAGTAGAAGGTGTTGAGATTTATTACTGTCCAGACAGATGTTTTTACAGCAATATAAGTCACACATATGTGTGTGATAGGTGGTAATCCGGGATCAACCATGATAACCTGCCCTTTGTAAACCTACATCTCCCCTATGTATTTGTATGGGGTGACCAGTCGATCTCTAGATTATACTCTCAAATCAGACTCTACTGTCTCCGGGTAATCAAATTGTTTAATCTCATCAAAGTTAGAAAATAACAGTTCAGGTCTAATCCAGTCAGGAAAATTGGCTTATTCACAGCTCCTGTAAAAACATCTCCCTTCTTGTCTAGCCCTAAGGCATTTAGTTTCTGGTACATAAACTTATTACTGCAAGCAGCTTAAGAGAATAAAATATACAGGAAACTTTGTGTTGAAAGATTTGCTAAATTGATATCCTGAATATTGGTACCGAGGTGTCTAGCTGTCACTCTCAAGTTGTCTATTACCTGTGGCTTGATTTCGTCTCAATCCTCACTACAGGGTCAATCACTTAAAATAAAGTTACTTGATGCTGATGATGAATGTTAAGTTACTTTAAGTCCCAGTTGCAGTAATTCCAGAATCTGGGACCCTCAACATATGTTGAGATGTTTTGTAGGTTGCTGTCAGATTGTCCCCCCCCCCCCTGCGACCTTTCCCTTACATTAGAGTTATGAAGACAACCACTTTTGTTTGGGTTGATAAATATTGGCAATAAAGTTTAATTAATTAGATAATGGAAACCCATCTGATCACTTTGATATAGGATTTGATTTTTTAACTTAAAAAAAACTTTCTAAAAAAACAAGTATATGTTTCTGTTGTGTTAAAGAACAAACAGTGTTGAATTGAACTTGTGTGCTTCATTTTCATTACTCCTGTGAAAATATTTGATATAAAAATCACGATCTATATTTGTATGAGGGAATTGTGCGATATTTCCTTCTAAAATTAGATGTCCATTCATAAAATGCCATTCCTCAGGTGTGTCAGGTGTTACTTGTTGTAGGTGTATTGGGTTTTTCTCAATGGCTACTGGGTTGTATATTGTCAAGTTACCTGGTCTGACAGGTGTACCTTAATCTCGTTTGTGACAACAGGTGAGTCATTGGGTGTGATTGTGTACTGCTACTGAGCAGGTAAAGTTGACATGTGAGGTGTAGAGATAAGGTCAGAATAGTAAAAAGTTCAGTAAGACACAGATTCTTGATAAACACACACTGTCAGAATGAAGATCTTTGGTATGTATATATGTTGTAGCCATGAACATATTATTTTTGATAAGGCCAGTTAGACACCAATTGACTCTATGCAAAAGAAATACTTAAACAAGAAGTACAATTCCTCCTGTCTTTTTTAATTGGTTTCAGTAATATTACTATCTTCAACAAAATCTTAACATGTATGGTTTAATTAAATTTTTCATAATTGTTTTCAGTAAAATTTCTAAGATAAAATAGATTCCAGGTGATGTGTTAGGTTAAAATAAAAATCTGTACACTTTTTATTTTCTCAAGTTTTCGTTCCCCTTTCAGAAAAACAACTTACAAGTCATATTGCAACCTAAAATACTGAGTTGATTGAAAATATGATCAGTAAAAATTTGGAATCCAAATATAGGTTTTTGATTTGTATTAGTGAACAACCTTGTTAATGGTTATATTTAGGGTATGACTTTGTTGATGGTCCGTGGCCGTTAAAGAGCTTTAATTTGTTGTTTTGGTAAAAATTATTTGAAACCTGATCCGCAAAACACTTGAATCACGATAGATAAGATAGCAGCACTCGAAGTTCTGCTTTCCAAGGATGCGTAATAAATATCAAAGTATAGAATCAAAGATGAGTCAGTGTTTGGGAGCATTAGATGTTGTAGTAACTGGTGTTTGTATGGAGTCTTACACACGGGATGTACCCCCCAACATTACAGATTAAATCTCAGTATCTGGTCCCATGCTCCAGGTTCCCACCATGCGTTATAGTCTGGGACTTGGGTAACTCACTATCACTTTGACTAGGCCTTCACTTGTCTCTGTGATTCAGTGTGAAATGGAGTGTACCTATAGTATGATCGGACAGGTGTGTACTAGTATAGGTCGTAAAGGTTTATTACTATAGGTTTAAAGGTGTCGGTAGTATAATATCCGGGTACAAGTACGGTTACCTGCCAAGAGCTTTTGTTATAATATTCTTCTTACAATTAATTCGGAAGTTGAAAACCTGGGACTGGATTATCATAACTCATTCGTGTCAACAACACATTTGAAAAGGCACAGGATATATAAACATGAATTAGTATAAACCTGTTAGATAGGATTTGGTGGTTGGTAGAGTAGGGTAACAAAGTGCAGTAGTCGTGATGGAGTGGCGGGGTTAATACAGCGTGCAGGGTCGAGGGGATGGGTGTGATGGGTAGTTAGGATCTGATCAGTCAGTACCAGGTATGGCTTTCTACAGACTGCAGGTCCACTAAGGCATATTTAGTCAATAACAGTTTGTTTTGCCATGTCCCTTCAATAACGAGTATATTTTCTTCCAGTGAACATCCCAGAGCACATAGACGCCCTGAAGGCCCAGAGGGAGATGTACCAGGCATTGAAAGCCCGCCGCGAGGCTCTCGAGGAATCCCTCCGTAAGCGCACTGAAGAACTCAAGCTTCTCTGCATCAAAGAAGGGGTAAGTTACAAAACTGTCATTTCTCCGAGATATTTGTAGATTAGTATATTTTTTCAATTTTATGATAAAAATATTTTTGATAGAAATTTGAAGAAAATAGTATTTTGAAATATGTTCAAAACTGCTTTGAAAGAGGAAGAAATTAATTCACAATTTTTAAAAGCAATGATGGCTTTCTCAAGTCAGTAATTTAAAATTTAATGTTGCCCAAATTAATTAATGCTTTTATTTTTTTACAGGAATTAACTGGTAAGCTTCCGATAGAGACCCCTCTAGCCCCTGGAGAGCAGCCTCCACAGATTCGCCGACGTGTTGGAACAGCCTTCTCCTTGTCAACTAAGGTAGGTACAATGATAAGCAGGATATAGACATTTAGAAAAAAGATATTTGAAATTTTGAAATATTTGATAGTTCATCATCAAGCAATAGTTCTATTTTTAAGGTGATTTTAAATTTCAATATTGCAGACATATTTTGAATAAAAATATGTTGCCATACAAAATATCTTTTTAGTTGAGATTCAACACCAAATAACAGTTCCATTGTGAATGATCTTCTATTGCCATGCTGTCAGCAACTATTGTATAATTATATGATAAGTGTTTAAAACATCTTAGCCAGTTAAGATAAGTTCATGACTTGTATACTCAATATATGACTATACAAAAATACAAGTTTAGTGGATATGCTCCTCTGTTTTATCATGTATGTACCGTGTTAGTTGACATAGTATTTATATCGTTTACTTTGCCTTTCAGAAGGACGATGATGACCAGGTGTCCAACATTGAGTTGGAGTACGAGCTCCAGAAACAGATCACCAGTGCTGCCCACAAGCTGTCCCAGGACAAGAGTGTCAGCAAGTATGTCAGGAAACAGCGTCGCCAGTCCTTCCATCGAGCCCAGACAAAGGTATGTAACTCCAACGCAGTTAGAATTTAATGTTGGCATAATCAAGCTGTAGTTTTTTTTAAATGGTTCTCATATTGCTGATTAAACTTTATTTAATTGTTAAATTATTATATTTTTCAAGATATCATGAATGATAATTTGAATTAATTTACCCAAAAATAAAAAGATAATTTATATAAGGTAAATCAAAGCGATGGTTAAAATGTTCGTATTTGAAAATGATTAATTTTTGGCATTAAGTAAAAAATGGTATTGGATATTATTGATGAACCTGATCAATGTTAAGATATTTTTAACCCTGACCTTTATTACTGTAGAAAATATTCTAATGTTTTTCTGATTTTCTGTCTACAGCTCAAGGAGATGGAGAAGAAGTTACATGACTCTCAGCGTGAGGCTGGTCTGGCCGAGCTGACCCCCACAACACCATCATATGATGGTAGGTACAGTTGTAATGACAGTTTAGAGTATAGCTTAGATGATTGTTTGTCTCAGAGCTGCACTGAGGATTATGGTAAGAAGCGTTTCCACTCATCCATCACCAGCCGTCTCTACAAGTCCTTCCGCTACAAGTATTCCTACCGACACAAGCTCAACAAGTCCTGTTACGACCTCGACTCCTCCATCAGCAGCGCCAACACCTCCAGCTTCCTGGACGATGAAGCTTTTGACCGTTCCGCACTTGATATGTCCCCTGCCAACCGTGCATCCTGGCACACATACTGTTATGAGAAGGTTCTCCAGTCAACGCCGGCCGTCGAGAGTCAGGTGTAGATGTGACTCAGATGTGACTAAATGTGGGAAATGTCTTAAGATGGGACTAAATGTGAGAAGTGTCTTAAGATGTGCCTTCGTTGAAAAGTGTCTTATAAGTGTTGGTGCTATGTGACAAAGTGGCTGATGACGTGGAGGAGTTGTTGTCCGTGGTTACGGTGCGGCTAGTTGTGGCTTGGGACAATCTTTCACAGGAATAAGTGCCTTAATGAAGGGAAATAACCCTACAAAGGGGAGATAACTTAGCATGTGATAGTGACACTGTGAGGCTATCTGTCTTTTAATTTATTGAATGTTGTGCTACAAAAAACTTATTTACCATTCCAATAGTGCCAAGGGTTTTCACTCAGCCTTTCTGGTGTGTGTGCCCTGCTGTATATATCATTTGTGAAGGAGACCGATCTGTAAATCGTATGATATTATCTGCCTTGACAATCAGGACTTGTTGTGATATCTGTGAAATCCTTCAGTGGAATCTCAATATTTATTTTGCAATTTCTTAAATTCTAAGATTAAGATCTTCACTGCCAATATGTATGATGTTTTTGTATGATAAAAAATATCTGAGGGATTTCTTATTGAAATCAAAATGATCTCATCCTGTCTCATATTTACTGTATGTGTCAGAACATCTACCATCCTCATAGTAACAACAATATGTGTATCACCGTGTATTTATCGCCTAATCACCTTGCTTCACTGTCATGTATAATCTATGTGTGCTGCACGCTTTGTTGACCAGGAGCTACTGCATGGCTTTCTTGTTATCATGCTTGACAGAATTCCTTTTGTAATGTGTAGGATTTCAAACTCCTAACACAAAATATTTTTATTTTGTATAAAGGATACCTGTATCAAAATGACGAATGCTAAAATAAACTTAAGAAGTTTTAATGATAATTTATCATGATTTTGTTGTATTAGTTCAAAAACACATGCAAATATACAAAAAAGTTGTAAAACATGTGGATTTTTTAACTGAAAAATAATAATCACTGTTGAAGGCTTATGGAAGGGGGAGATAACTGCATTAGGAATTATCTGAAGCATTGTTTAACTGGTTGTACTGTTTGTTGTTGTTAAGAACATGTGTTGGTTGCCGTGGTAACAGTTTAGTATGCTTTATATGTGGATTACACGTGTTGCTTGTGTGTGGTGTCTCTGTTCTGTGCTGTCCCATCATATCATCTCCTTCACTATTAAATATTTATTTTCATATTTCGTGTATTCAGTTGATTCATTAATTTGACTGCATGCAATCTTGGACAACAGAAAATCTGATCAAACACCGCTTCTCATTGTCTGATTGGTACTTTAGCTCAGAAAGTTCCTTTTGTGTCTTGAAGTGAACTTTTATTTATGATTTATATTTTTAGAACATCTTTGATAATCTTCCTGAACTATGTTTTTTCACAAGAAAGACAGCTAATTGGAAAATGGAAGAGATGTAGGTGGTATGTTACTCAGATATTCTGTTGTCCTCCTACTTATGTATTTGTTTGACAAATTACTGGGAAGGTTCTGCTTTTAGTTTGACCAAGTATAAAACAAAAATTCAGAAAAATCAGAAAAACTTTAAAAAAATGAAAAAAAGAAGAATTATATTCTCTGTTAGTGTAACTACAACAGGGATAATGCTTATTGTTCCACTAATGTTTTCTGAACATTTAGAGAATTTAGTCAAGCAAAGATAAGAACCTTACAGTATTTTTTGTGTCAAGGGACGTGGTAAACTCCGGAACTTAATGAACCATGTTTGAAATGGCAGTAATCTTTAATTACTAATGGCAGCTACAATCTCGGTGTACAAGGAACTCAGCGAAATTCTACGGGACATCAACGTGGCACAATATTCACTGTCAGTCCAATACAACACAAACTGAAAACAAATATAATACTGTTGAATCCCGCAATATGCTAGCAAACTTAAACAATGTCAAAGGTCACATCCACAATACATTAAATGACTGGAGAAAGTCAAAGGTCAAATACATGAATATGTCAGTAGACTTGGACAAGGTCAGTGGTCATATAAACAATATATCAACAGTCTGATACAGGCCAAAGTTCACATCCATAAATATACCAGAAGTCTCAAAACAAGGTCAGAGGTCATATACACAATATATCAACAGTCTGATACAGGCCAAAGTTCACATCCATAAATACACCAGAAGTCTCAAGACAAGGTCAGAGGTCATACATACAATACGACAACTGACTAAGACAATATTAAATGTACCAACCACAATTTACACCAACAAAAAACAAGATCAGAGGTCACATCAATGAATATAATTACAGGACAAGGTCAAAGGTGTCATACACAATACAACAGCAGATACACATTCAAAGGTCACACCGATACAAAGTATCAACAAGACAGGTCAGAGTTCACATCCATGAATATACCAGCAGACATATATCAAGGTAAAGAATCACACACAATGTAATTATACAATAGATGGAAGACAAAGGTCAATAATCACATCCATGATTACACAAGGAAACTAAGAAAAGGTAAAAAATACACTAAATAGAGAAAACAAGAATTGAATTAAAAAAAAACAAGGTCAACGCTTGAATGCAGACTGAAGACAAGGTCAAAAAGGTTATACACCCATACTTAACAGCTAATTGGTCAAAAATTCAGAGAAAAAAAAAAAAAAATGGAGGCTTATTGATTCACATTAAGTATTGAAAAATGTGATAAGATCTATTAACAATTCATAATTTTCATTTGCCATTGTAAATCAACATCAATGACAATTCAAAGTTAAGTATGGCCATGACACCCAAAGGAAGAGTAGGATTTGGTTGAAAACAGATTTCATGTGGAGAAGTGCTGTATAGAGTCGTTGTTCAGGTCTATGATGTTACACCATAATTGGTTCTAATGGACAGCTGATTGAGTCAAGCTGTTCAAGTACTTGGAACAAAGGAGGGAGACTTTGAACCTTTCTTAAAAATAAAAAATAAAAGCGGGGGGGGGGGGGGGGGGGGGGCTATAAAAAGAGCAATGGACTAGCAGACAGTAATCATTGTTGAAAAGATTTCATTTACAAGTAATGAAAATAGTTTCTGAATCACAAAAACACAAATTGGTCATCGTATGTGTCATGGTTAATTTACCCAGCACATGTAGCTACTGTAATTGGTTCAAATAGCAGTTCTTTGTTAAAGGATGTCTATTTTGTAATTGGCAACAGCTTGAAACATCTGCCTACCACAGACCATCATCAATATATTCCCTTGGTCTAAACGGTTCTACAGACCCATAGCAGACCACTACAAAATAAAAGATACCTACACATTCAGTAATTATACTGATTCCCCTATAGATGCCAGTGACTAGGGCTTTAGTGGGAAGCCCCAGGACCAGCACCTGCTGATAGGCCACTTAGTGGCACCTGGTCGATAGTGTGGCTGATAACTACACATACTTATACACTATACACTCACCTGTAAAGCAGCTCTTATCTTCTCAAGTATGGAAATTAGTGGCAAACACAATTTGAAAGCCCCCTATAAAGTTTAAACCAATGTAAACTTAATTTGATGATAAAAATGGGAAAGGCAACTGAAATTAATTAACTCCTGTAAAAGTAAAGAAAAGTGTTTGATAGAATCCTTATCTTTAACTGCCCCCAAACCTAAGTCTTTGTGAAACACTTTCCCCAGTCAGTGGCCTGAAATTTAATGTACAATACCACATCAAATTACTGCTGAATAAAGAACATTAATTGAGATAATGTTCTGTATATATCATAAAATAAAGATAGATAATGGACCAGGCCTTTGCAAATAAGCAATATTAACATTCTTCATAAGACAAAGTTTTTTTTAGCTTTACCATGAAGTCAATCAGTTCAAGAACTGTTTGAGAAATACAGATGTCAGAATTTGAAGAGATGGTAGTGTAGGAAAACAGTGGTGCAACACTAGAACAATATAGCAGAACACTTCCTTAATGAAACAACTGTAATGTAAGACTGCACCTGGTGTACAAGCGTTCTTGATGACTATACTAGTATTGATGTTATACAGTTGTACCATGATATGGGAAAGGCAACAGTGTAGAAAACAAAAACCAAACACATTCCGGATGTGTAGAAAGAAGCAAAAGTATATTTTTAGAGAGAAAAAGTAGAAATGAGAATACTTGAAACAGAATAGGATTACTTTTGAAGAATTAATCTTTTAGGAAGCTTCAAGACCTTTCTGAGAATTAATCTTTTAGGAAGCTTCAAGACTTTTCTAAGAATGAATCTTTTAGAAAGCTTCAAGACTTTTCTAAGAATTAATCTTTTAGGAAGCTTCAAGACTTTTCTAAGAATTAATCTTTTATGTAACATAAAGCTTCCCGAATGTTGAAATAGTCCCAAGAAGGGTACGTTACACCTAGGATATAATGCTAGTGTATAAGAGGAGGAGCACACTACATCTTTCATTGTCACCTGTTGTGCTATTGGTTTAAAAATTGCTGCTTTGTTTCGCCCAGCCCCCACCTCCCTGCACATGTGTCTAGGTTTTGTGAAGGATTTTCCTGCTACATTCTACTACTAGGTTATCTACCCCTAGTTCTGATTTAGGGTCTCTAAATCAGACATCCCTAAGTAAGTGATCAATTGTTAGAGTCCCTTTTTGTCTTGAAAACTTCAATATTCTAGAGATGTGGGCAAGTCTATGAACTATGATGTAATACTACAAATATGTGAAGGGGTTGGAGCTGAGTGGAACAATCTAAAAAATCTAAAAAGTATGAGATGAGTTGGGGTGAGAATTGGATAATGATATCAACTGAAGACATTGCAATGGCTTTTTTGATAGAGATCTGAGAGTTTTATATTTTTTTCTTAAAACTAATTCAAAAAAGTCGTTTGGTTTGCCTTGAATCTTGTTGGTTACTTTCCAAGGGTTCAAAGTGTATCAGTAATTCAAAGAAGGAAACATGTACGGCATGAAAGAGGCAATATACACAGAATACAGATAAAGCTAAAATGAAAAAAACTCCAAATCTCAAGGTGCACAATGATATCAGTTTTCTATCAATTAAATTGAGTTCCTACAAAAACAAACTTAAGTTGAGGTCCTTTCACCATAAACCACATCCACATCACCCCATTGATAAGGTACCCTGGTAGTGTGATTAACTTTGCCACATATCTTACAAGATGCACGCCCACACAGATGTAAGCTCAATTCTACAATAACGACAAAACTCCCAACTTTCAAAACACAAAATATAAAAACAGCTGCCGGTAATCCATATGACGCAATCGTAGGAGACCTAATGTATATGACAATCTTTTAATCTGTAATATCCTACCAGCTGTGTAACGGGAAAAAGTTAACATCCAGCACCTTGAGGTTAACATCTACCATATGGACTGGTGGTGTATGGAGTTCCTGTAAATCAAAGTCGGTTTATCTCTGGGCATTTAGGGATGCTTTTTGGGTTTCTTATATAAGTTTGATATTCAGACAGTGTATATGTTCAATCTCCCGTAGGCTGCTGTCGAAAATAAGGGTAGAACCTGATACTTATCTCCCTTGGTTGACTGTGATATTCAATAATTTGTATCCTGATTAATTTTACTTCTTCTTCTAACAGCTTTATATTCATATTTTCCACATTGTCATAGGACAGCTATAGGACAGATTGGATGACATTTTTCATTGATCTGTATTCAGCATGGTAAATAGGCATAACTTATAAAAACATTTTTGGGAGATGTATTTTTTTTTGCTGCAATAAATTAATACATTTAAAAAATCATATAAAGTCAGTGAAAAAGTCAAAAAGGATTTAAAATGCTTTTGTTCTAGATATGTAACTGAATTAGAATAATTTAATGATGACTCCATTCTTTATGACCAAACGTTATTAAAAACAGTCTGTACAGATCTATCCTTTATTTTTCCAACCTGTTGACCATTTGACCTATATCCATATATGAAAGAAATAAGGTTAGAAACCTTCATTGTTGATTATCTCCCTTGCACAGCTGAGTAGTGTAAACAGCATTATAGGGTTTTGTATGGGACTGGTCAAGATGGCTAGAGGGTGATCAGTCAGCAGCTGGCCTTCAGGTGTGTACACCTGTGGGTGGTCAAAACACCTATTCTATAGTGTAGGTAAGGTGTAAGGTGAGACTACCCATTTCATGGGATTATAATTAAAGATGCAAGATTATAAAATAATCCAACCTCTCTATTAACATTCATTGGTCTATTTTTTTTGCATTTAAAATGTGTTTTTTAACTAATAAAAACAGTTTCTTTGTATTTATACAACCTCGCCAATCTTACTTTTCAAAGTTAATGTGTTATTATGACCTTCAAGAAGGGCATATTTTTTTGCTATGAGTCAGAGATATTGAAATTAAAGTGCAACACTTTTGAAAAATTTCTGTGAAACCTTTTACCATGAGTAGATAAGCAAGTTTACCCCTGGTGTTTCAGTGTCTCATCCTTCCAAGTCAGTAGGATGTGAATACTTAACAGGCAGCTAATGACTGATTCCAATCAGACTGATATTAAAGACTTATCTTTCTGGGACAAATCTCTCCAGAGTGGGTATGAAAATAAATACACTTCAAAAAAACTATAATCTTTTGCTAAGCTGTTTGTGGAGTTGAAAGTTTGGTGCCTGCGGCTGGAGTTTGTGAGGAGTGGAAGTCTCAGACAGGTCGGGTTCGTAGTGTAATGGGGTCACTACACTATGTAATGCACATGATTACATCCATACGCAAGGTCGACAAGCTGTATCACATCGCTAGAAATCTTTGTCTGACCTCAGACAGGAGGATGTTACACAGATAAAACTTAAAGTTTTTAATCATCGTTTCCTGTTGTGTTCGCTCACCTGTTCTGTCAGTCTCCTGCGATACACAGACACGTGTGAATCGTGCATGGTAGTGGTCCTTTGTTTTGTGAGGGGTACAGGTTTATTACAGGGCTGCTTAATTGGTGCCTTGTGACGAAAATGTGATATACTGGTAATGCTTCATGCCTTCACTATGACCAGAAATGCATGTTTTGGAACAGAGGAATTACTTCTAGAATACTGCATGCAAATTGTATTACCATTTCTAATTGCCTCTCCCATGATCAGTAACAAAATAATGAGGATGGTAGATTTTGCACTTATGTTTTTTTTTGTGATAATTTCACAAAAGAATTATTTCAAACCTTCTTCATCTTGGTCCAATAATGGTGAATTAGTGTATCAGAGTCCATAGAATTGTGGAAGTGTACATTTTATAAGTTCTTTTCTTGTGTGTTTCTTGCAGATATATTAGACAGCCCAACCAAGTCACCACAACAGCAGCATCGCCAGCATGATTACGTAAGTATTGGAGTATTGGTACAACTAGAACAATCGCAGTGTAAAGACTTTCAAAACAATATTGTTTCTGTAACACAGAACCATTGCTTGAAGCATTGACATTTTTTACATCATTAAAAGCAGTGCAGTCTTATTTTCATGTTTTCTGAAAAAACACAAGTTGATGTAGTGTCAAGTTTGTTACTCATGTTGTGTTACTTGCCTAGAAATTTTGTCGTTCAATTGATGATTTATTATACTGTGAAAATAACACTGGTGTAAGATTTACCCTGTATACCGTAATCAGGGCCTAATTGCTAAACAAGTCTTACCGGTAACACAAATGTTCAAAATGCGATTTGTGAAAAAAACAGAAAATTTACAACATTTTAGTGTTTGTTGCCCTAGGAAGAATATTTTGAATCTACAGAAATAAAGTTTCGCTTTCAGTATTTTTGAAAATCTACTACCTGGTAGATCAAAGTTTGCATTAAGTAGTTGTTAACCTGTGCCAGCTTTATAAAATACTGGGGACTGTATCTTATTAGACTTTCACCCATCTTGGGGCTTTCAGGCGATAACAGAGTGGTAAACATATAGATATGATCATAACTTTAACTTTGTTTTACCTTTTGCGAGAGATTGTAATAAGAGGTGTCTCCCTTATAGGATCGTGAGGGAGATTTGGACTTTCCTCCTATGATGCAGAGATCGGCCACAGCCAGAGAACTGTCCCCAACACAAAGCTCGCCGGCACAACTTAGTCCAACTCTCAGCAGGTATGTAGCACTCTGGTATATGTATCATATTACTTATTCAAGCGGCCTCTTCTTCATGTACCAAACATTGCTGGCTTGCAATTTTAACATAAAAATTCTTCAATTCAAGATAAATTACTTTAAACATATTCTTTGTAAAAGTAATAGTTTATATTTGTTATGATAATGAATTTGGGAAAACTGCAAGTACAATTAACATTATATTCGTAATGTGTGATATCACTGGTAATCACATAGTCCCAAGCCATCATAAATTATAGGTAACAAGATAACAGATGTTTGTCTCTATGTCTATGATATGATATAGATTTATGTGTCAAACAGTTATAACTTTTTGATGATAATGATAAAGACGATAAAAGTGGACATTTTTGTGGGTGTGATATTTCTCACTCTGATGTGATGTTCTCTTCGCTAAGATGAAGATAAAAAACATTGAGGTTAAAGTAAAGTTAACAGTATACCTAATGTGTATTTTTTACTTGCAGCCCCCAGCTGTGTGGCGAGGGCCGCAGCCAGTACAACAAAAAGGTGTATTCCCCGGTACTGGCCAACCGCTCACAGTCCTCAGGAAGCAACATGTCAAACCAGTCAGAGTATGAAAATGTGCGTGGCTACAATCGCTACGACAGTCAGGACAGCGGCTTCAGCTCGGCAAACAACATGTACAACCTCATGACACAACGCACATCACACTATGACAGTAATGACGAGATCAAGACTCCCACCAACAAGGAGCCACATCCAGATACAGACAGTGCGTTCAGTAATGACCGAATTGGTCAATCCAAACATGGCAGTTTGGATGGTAGCTACAGAAAATCATTGACTTCTCAACAAAGTTATGGAAGCTTAGAACGAAATTCCAAAAAACGGGATCAGCATCCTGGTAGTCGACCACGGGATCGACAGCATAGTGATAGTGACACTAATATCCCAGTTCCAGATCTAGAACCTTCTAAATATGGGAGTAAACGATCCTCACAATCGGAGTATGATGTGAGCACATCCCGAAACAGTGTCGTTGAGGTGCCGGTAAAACATGAGGATTATCACTCGACGTCAGTGCAACCAGAACATCACACAAATAGTTGGCAGGACACAGCACAAACAGAGCCATCTCCCATTGTGCAAAGTCCTCAACATTTGCGACAGGACGGTAAAGACAGTGTGTATTCAGGACAGTGTTATAGCCCTCGTATGTATGAGGGCTCATTCCAAAGTCATAGTGACGTACAGTCAGCCGACCAGGCAGGTACAGCTTCGACCAAGAGGACAGAATCTCACCAACACAAGAAACATCCAAGTGCTTTAGTGACAGTGACCAAGTTACAGCCCCACCAGAGTGTGGAGTTGGTGTCGAAACCATTTGAAATGTCCGACTTCTATAAGTACAGTGAAAAGATCCGGCGACAACGGATGATAGAACAGTACCAGCAGCAGCTGATGGGGGGATCGCGGTGCTCCACACCCTCCCAGCACTCGTCAGATTCGGGGGAAACCTCTAACTCCGGCCCTACCTCATACCGTCACCCTCATTTTGTACAGGGCTCATCAGGGCAGGGTTCCCCCTCACAGAGCCCCTTCAGGGCAGGCCCCCCAACAAACTTTCCAACGAGTAGTCGGCAAATGTCTCCCTACCTTGCCCACAAGCGAGAGGGATACGACCAGTCATCACCGTTTCCTAGTCATGCTTCACCAAAGCTAGTTAAAGAACATAGTACTCATGTGCAATATACAGTGCAGACTGCGACAGGAGGACGTATTTATAAGTCTGTACAGACAACCACACACACTCAGTACAAACCTTTAACGCCTCAAAAGTGTGACCCTGTGAGGAATCAGACAGCCACTCCTGTGACCTCCGCACCATCCACACGCACACCCAGTGCAAGGTGAGATATGCACAGGTGGATCGTCAACCATGCGGAAACCCTAGTCAGGACTGATTCAGTATGGAGGATGTGTGTAGGCGGCCTGCCCCTCTAGTCTATAGAGCTGTGACCTCCATATCTTCATGTGTGAACCCCCCACAATCTACTGTGTGTTGCCTCTATGTGTGACCTTTATACCTACACTGCTTGTCCGTCAAATCCACCAGGACTAGTATTACACAAAGCTTTCTTCCCCAAGTTTTTACAAACCAAATAGCATACAGCGACCTAGTTTTCTGTTGTGTGTGTGCAGACACTGCACTGTTCTATTGTTTGTAAGAGGAGACAATCCTCTTCTTTCTGCAGGACACAGATCTAACTCAAAGTTTCAGACTAGAAATTCGAGTGACATTTATTTTACAGAAATATGGACAGCTATATAATATAAATACATGTATTTTTGAAAAATAAGGGTAATTTTAAAATCTGACTTGTCAAGGTGCCTAGAATAATGAAATTATGAATACATTCTTTCTTCAACTTTTCATTTGATTTTAACAGTCTTGATCTGTTGGATGCTTTGTTTGTATTCATTTTCACCAGCTTTGTGTTATGACAAGCTTCACAGCCACATTGATCATCATTCTATACAATTTTAATCAACAGTCTACTATTCAAACTTTCTATTATAAGAATGTTATTGGTCTATTAAACATGGGGTACTGCAACTTGCTATATCAGAACAACCAGCATAAGGGTAAGGATGATAAATAAATAATTAAAGGGAAAAAAAAAGTATTTTAAATCATTAAATTATTTTGAAAAGGATTTTGATGACATGCTTCATTAATGTAAATAGTTAATTAAGCATCACATACTTTTAATTTTACAGATATTCAAAATGTTTTCAATAAGCAAGTTTGCATTATCTATGATAGACTACCAAGATTTAATCCTGAATGATCAAAAACAACAAAAACAAAACCATGCACACTTTCCTGACTGTATCAACACTCTACCTATAGCACACATACATCCTTATAAAAAGGCACCTACCTTACTGCTGCATGTCCTTGTGTACTGTCCACTGTTGGTCAAGTGTACTGTCTGTAATGGTCCTGTGATGTTACTCTCCTCTCTTTAATAGATACTCTACAAATGACTGTACTATTGATCTGCTGGTTGACTCTCCTAATCCAATGCATCCCCATTCCTGCTGCTGAAGTACATATATGCTGATTTTATATTTATTTTCTGTTTGTTGCTGTTTCATTGTGCTGATTATTGTCTCTGTTGCATTAAAATCAAAACTCTGGTTGTCTCCCTTGCTTTTCACTTGAACTCTGGTTGTCTCCCTTGGATGTTACTCAGTACAGATGTCTCTCTTGCTTGTCGGCTACACTGAGGTTGTCTCCCTTGCTTTTAACTTAAACTCTGGTTGTCTCCCTTGTATGATACTCTGTGAAGTTGTTTGCTACACTGAGATTGTCTTCCTTGCCTGTCACCCACCCTGTTCCTTTACCTTGCTTGCCACCCCATCGTTGAATGCCATCACATCCGCCGACAGAATCTCTCATGTTTCCGCATGTGATCCAACTGTTTTTATTTTCTTATGAGATTATGATTGCATTTTTTCTTTTAATTCTTTGTAATTAATTCACCATCATCATGCTAATATTGTTTCTTATCTTTACTCTTTTTATTATAATTTTTTAATTTATTTTATCTTGATTATAATGTTGATATTGTTGAAGTATGATAACAGAGATGTTTATTGAAGAAAGAGATGTTTTATTCTTGGAAACAGTTATAGAAATATTAAATCAAGATCTGAAATAAAACATTTAAACAAACTTATTGTGTTGCTTATTTCAATTTCTGCATGTACAGAGCCTTACCAAAGAAAGGTTATATTGAAAAATAACATTTTAAGGGCTAATTGTTTTTGGCATACACATTAAGTTTCCTTAGGTTTCTGTAGACTTATCCCGGATAGTATATCATGCTTTTAAAATGAATTTTAAAACTTATTTTAGTGAAATATCTACCAGTGCTTTATACGTAATATAGCTATTAACCCTCTCATTAGTTTGACTAATGACTTACATTTATAAACGTCTACAAGAAGAAGAAATACCAGAAGTAGTGATGGTAATCATTGTATAGTACAACTATAAATACCTGAATTTAACAAAAATCTTTCCTAGGTTATTTTTGTCAACTTGAGTATAAGGATTGATTTGACTTTATTGGTGATGTTGTATTTGTTCTTGGTGGTTAAAACGGCTGATAATATGCTGCAATATCTTCTGTTATTTATGAAAATGGAGAACATCGAGTAACTTATGCCTTATTCAGGGCATTTAAGACCTCATGGATATATGCCTAGCTCTTGACAGTTGTCGGATCTTAATGATGCAGAAGGGAAGTAACTCTTACAGTTATAATAGCATAATGTATGATGATGGTGATATGAGATACATGTGTAAAATCAATGAAAATAATTATAGTTTCTACATTGCACATTCTAATGATGATGGTGAAACAATTGTATGGAGTGTAAGCAAATATTATACAAATAATTATTATAATATTCAATATTATGAAAAAAACCTTGCTGTGTATGTAATTAAATTTAACTTTTAACAGACATAGAGAGGTGAAAGACAAACGGGACCAGAAAAAACAGCGAAACATCCGTGATTACAGAGATCATCATCGGCGGAGCCATGTTGAACAACCAGTCTCCTGCCTGGATACAACATTCTCAGCTTTAGAGCCCATGGACAATGTAGCGGATGATTTCAGCGAAGAAATGATGGCCTGGTATGACGATAGCAGTAATGTGGGAAAGAAACCGTCCTATGTATGATAATAATGTGTAAACTAGTAGAGTGCTATATATAGTCAGGTACAAATTTTAAAAAAAATGATCTCTTAGACTTTTGTTTTCCTAAAATATTTTTATTTTCATGCAGACAAAAAAAAAAATCTGAATTTGTATGAAAAACATAGAAATAACAAAATTTTCATTTTATTTTCCAAATTTTTTGCTGTTTTCTGTTTTTATTCTGATTGAAAATTTTTAAGATTTGTTATAATTGTTTTGACATGTCAATGATATTGAACACATTTCAACATTTCTTGAGAAATTAGGGCTTATGTATATCTAATGAACAGCAGTAAGCAGGATGTAACCATCACAGATTACTGATCAGATCATACAGTAAAAGACAATTTTTAGGTTTTTAAGTGATTTTATTTTAACAAAATTGACATTCTCTTAGGAAGTGGTTACTCAGGTACCTATAGTGGTACATGTAATATTGTCCCGTAGTTGATGTCAGCTTATTTCTCAGTTCTTAGGAAAATAATTCAGCGTTTTTAAGTGAGCTTTTATGCAAATGCAGTTTTAATATTTTGTAAATCTTCAAAAAGAAATTAGCAAGAACAAAGTTATAAAAGAATTTGTATCTACATGTGTGATCAGAGACGTATAATACATGTATTATACGTCTCTGGTGTGATGCAGCTATTTGATAAAACTGGTCAGATATCTTTTTAACCATAAGAAGCACATGAGACATAACATATTTTAAAGTTAAGCACTTTTTAATAGTAATTCTGCAACGGTCGTCTCTTTAGCAAACAATGTCGCTTAAATAATTGTTATTTCATGTATTTTTAATGAGAAGATAGATCTATATATTCAGTCTTAAATTTGCAGTTTAACTTATATGTTATATCGTGATAGATGTTCTAGCTTTGATTCATTGTTTTATGTGCGCGTAGTATGATAAAATATTACTGCAACAAACTTAAACACTGTTAACCGTATTTGATGACGGAACAGTCTCGTTCCCCGAGTAACAAAAAGGCAATACTAAATTTCTTAATTACAATTATAATACAAGCTAAGCTTAATCATCTCCCCTTGACAAAGGACATCTTCAGATGTCACAGTCAGGGAAGGTACATTAGACTTGTGTCTACAGTATTCAAATTCAATGTATCTTGAGATTAGAATATCTAGTCATATAAATGTTTTAACTAGAATGTTTTAATTGTCAGAGGAATTGTGAATGCTCAATTCCACATTGAACAACAACCTGTTAATAAACTTAAACCCTACAACACGTTCAGTATTCTAACACTGTGTTGAAATCTGAAGATAAAGCTCAAATTAGAAGTTGTCATTATCTGAGTTATTTAGAAACCAAAATCAACCTAGAGAAGGGAGTAACTAATGTCGGCAAGGTAACCAAGAGTTAAAGGAAGTAGTATGATCAAGATGACCTTGAGGTCAGGGAACTAGTATGATCAAGATGACCTTGAGGTCAGGGAACTAGTATCATCAAGGAGACCTTGATGTCGGGGAACTAGTATCATCAAGGAGACCTTGATGTCGGAGAACTAGTATGATCAAGATGACCTTGAGGTCAGGGAACTAGTATCATCAAGGTGACCTTGAGGTCAGAGAACTACAGTCATAAAGATTATTTTAAAGTCAGGGGAACCAGTTTCATCTTGGTAGCCTAGAGTTCAGGAAAACAATATCATTAGGTGATTTTAAGGTCTTGGGAACATGTACCATCAAGGTAATCGAGAGTTGAGAGACTAGTATCATCAAGGTGAGTTTAAGGTCAAGTGAACTAGTATATCAAGGTGAGTTTAAGGTCAAGTGAACTAGTATCATCAAGGTGAGTTTAAGGTCAAGTGAACTAGTATCATCAAGAATACCTTAAATTCAAGGGAACTTATTTCGTCAAAGTGATTTGATGTCGGGGAAACTGGCGTGTTATAGTTAAAGGGTTAAGGATGACACTGGGTGTTCTATAGATAACTGGTATTGGAATGTGATCTTGATCAGGTTATCAAGGCAAAATGACAAATACACATATACAAGTATGTATGGTATTAAATATTGAACTGAAAGTAACGTATAGGATATGTTGGTACATACAGTTACACTTCATTGGTTCTCATCATTGCATGAAATTTGAATATCAATAGAGAAAGTCAATGAGTTCATTTATTAATATTGTACCAGTAATCAATTTGGGATAAAATGGAGAAACTACAATAATTCACTGTGGATAAAGAAATCCTTTGTGTTGATGTGGAAAGGTGGACACATGTTCAAATGTGAGATTTGAAAATGCATAGCAATACAAATGTTTGGAAACAGTGAGATGCATGTCTGTTGGTTGGTATCTGTTTGAGTGAATACAAGATATATTTGTTGAATATTGTGAAAGGAGGTGTGAGTTTGTAGGTATCTGAGTGGATATGATTTATGTTTGTTGTTGGGAGAGAGTGAGTGAGATGATGAACGATGCCAGACCAAGAGGTACTTGTTAGTCATAACCAAGTGATGGCAGCTTGTTGGTGAGATGTTAAGTTCTCAGTCTTTTTATTTTTTCGTGAATTATTATTATTCTTAAAATATATATTAAAATTCTAAAAGAATCGCATACACATTGTTGTTTTATCTATTAACTTACTTTGGAATGATGAGAATATGCATTGTAATAAATGCCTGTTTGCACTTGCTTCTCCAGTATTATCATGGATACTGCAAGATGAAATTGAGGGGTTTTACCTTGTACAGGATAAAAGCCACTGTACCTGGGGGAAAAAAACCCACTAAATGTCCTCTTCTTGTCTTAAACAAATGTGATCTTTGATACTGTCAAATTTCATTTCAGGATAGTTCAGGATTTAATTTCGACAAAATGATTGGGAATCAGAAAGGGACAAAACTGTTATTAAAATAATGAAAATCGATAAGAAATCACAAGCAAATAGTACTTAACGAATTTATCATGTGTATGCAATTTCATAAATATCTGTAAAGAAGGGAAGTAGCAGTACTTTTGAGAAGAGAAAAAGGTCATAACTCAAATCAAAATAGAGAATATTAAAAAAGATTACAAACAAAAACGTGTAGGGTACTGATAATGCAAGAAAAATTGCATAAATATAGGTAAAGAAGGTAAATAAAGAGTACTATATAATATAGACAAAATTTTATAATGGAAAATCAGAAAAGGGGCATAACTCAAACTGAAATGGTCAAAATCAAATACTGAAATTCTTGAGTGTTGATTACATCAGGACATTTTGAGGGGGTTGGATTAACTGGCTTTGTAACTATGTGTGTAGCTTACAAACATTAACCAATAGGAGAGATATGTGTCACTACAATACTGTAAAATTAGATTTGACAATTGGTTAGCTCTGGATTCTTAAAATATATTTCTCAACGAGGATCATGACTTTTGACCTTAGCACTGTATCAAAACAATTCTTGCATCAATGTCTGTCACTTTCTAAAGTACATGTGTATAAAAATTATTTACTGTTTTTGACATAATTGGACCTTTGCACTTGTGTCAAAATGCTTCTTGCATCAATGCAAAAAATATTCCAATGCATAACTGTATAGAAAATGTAAATTAGGGACAAGTTGCCGATGACATCAAAATAATACTTGCATCGAATGTCTACAAAATTCTAATTAACAGTAATTGAAATTTTTTGGCTTAAATGCTAAACTAACAAAAATGTTTTGTCATTAACTCATTCACCCCTGAAGACACTTTTTAACTTTTCCAATTCAATGTTTGGAATACCATTCAATAGTTCATTATGAAATTTAAGGGGTGAATGAGTTAAATGGTGAATAGAAGCATAACGGCCTTCCAACTCAAAGACCTACAAAACTACATTGTATATATGCATACTCAAAGCGCAAAGAAGGCTGACTATTGGAAACAAATAGCTGATAAAGAATGCTTGTCATATTTGACCACAAGTAAGCCCCAGCCCTAGAAAAACAAGCAAATTTGTGGAATTTATATCCCCCGCGCTTGCAGGACATTTTGTAGGTTAACATTATTGAGGTTAGGTTTAAACATGTGACTATCATGCTTTTGAGACATAATGTACAGCTTGAAACTTGAAGAGAAACAAGAGGCCCAATGGGCCTGAATCGCTCACCTGGTATAGAAGTCGTTTGAAGATGTTTAACACATTTGACCCCTGTGACCTTGAAAGTGGGTCAAGGTCATTCATTTGAACAAATTTGGTAGCCCTTTATCCCAGCATGTTACTGGCCAAATATCATTATCCAAGGCTTCTTGGTTATTCAGAAGAAGTTGTTTATAGGTTTTAAACATATTTGACCCCTGTGACCTTGAATACAAGTAAAGGCCATTTGTTTGAACAAACTTGGTAGCCTTTTATCCCAGCATGTTACTGGCCAAATAGCATCATCCTAGGCCTCTTCGTTATTCAGAAGAAGTTGTTTAAAGGTTTTAAACATATTTGACCCCTGTGACCTTGAATATAAGTCAAGGTCATTCATTTGACTATAAGTAAAGGTCATTTGTTTGAACAAACTTGGTAGCCCTTAATCCCAGCATGTTACTGGCCAAATATCATTATCCAAGGCTTCTTGGTTATTCAGAAGAAGTTGTTTAAAGGTTTTAAACATATTTGCCCCCTGTGACCTTGAATATAGGTAAAGGTCATTCACTTTCACAAAAGTTAGTAGCCCTTTATCCTAGCATGTTACTGGCCAAATATCATCACCCTGGGAATTTTGGTTATTCAGAAGAAGTTGTGTAAAGTTTTTAACATATTTGACCCCTGTGACCTTGAATATAGGTAAAGGTCATTCATTTTCACAAAAGTTAGTAGCCCTTTATCCTAGCATGTTACTGGCCAAATATCATCACCCTGGGAATTTTGGTTATTCAGAAGAAGTTGTGTAAAGTTTTTAACATATTTGACCCCTGTGACCTTGAATATAGGTAAAGGTCTTTCATTTTCACAAAAGTTAGTTAAATATTTGACGCCGGACCCCGGACGGACGCCGCACCACAGCATAAGCTCACTTGGCATTTCGTGCCAACCTTTATCTCATTGATTATCCGTAAATATGCACAAATCACATCGGTTGGCAAATTTAACATGAGTTGGATATGTGTATGTGCATACGGAATTTGGTTGAAACACCTGAACAATATCTACAGCAATTATTATCAAACGAAAAACAAAGAGTGCCCAAGATGGGTGAAAAGACGGAGGAACACAAACATTGTTATCAAGTTTGAAGGAAGGAATTGGGCAAATATTTGCTCGAGTTATTAAGTTGAAACTGCAGATAATGACGTTTTTCATTAATCAAGGGGCCATAACTCTGCCAATTGGATACCGATTAAAGTGGTTGTCAAACTTGGCCGAGCCCTTAATGAATTGAACCCTGTAGCTAAGTTTGAAGACAATCGGATAGTATTTGTGAGAGTAAATGTACAGCAACGGCTGATAATGATGTTTTTAGCTTTGCTCAAGTGACCTATTCTAATCGCTTTTCGTCCGTCGTCGTCCGTCGTGCGTCGTGCGTAAAGAACCAGTGGATGGATTTTTTTCAAACTTGGTCAGAATCATCCTTGTTAGATGAGGCTTCAAAATTGTAAAATTGGGATTCCTACCCCGACCCCTGGGGCCAGGGCGGGGCCCCAAAGGGAAAATTAATCCATATTTCAAAAATCTTCTTCTTCAGACTCAGAGGTACTACACTCATTTTCTCTACGTGGAAAGAAAGATCATCAGGGGCTTTACTTAAATTGTAAATTTCAGGACCCCCGAGCTATCCGTTCTCCCTTGGGGAGGGGGTAAAGTTTACTATAGTTTATATAGGGAAATAACACTTTTGGGTATATTTTGACAACTTTCTGTAGGAAATTATTTTTACTTGGTGAGAATTATCCTTGGAGGTAGATGGTTTCAAATTGTAAAATTGAGATTCCTACCCCGACCCCTGGGGCCAGGGCGGGGCCCCAAAGGGAAAATTAATCAATATTTCAAAAATCTTCTTCTCCAGACTCAGAGGTACTACAGTGATTTTCTCTACGTGGAAAGAAAGATCATCAGGGGCTTTACTTAAATTGTAAATTTCAGGACCCCCGAGCTATCCGTTCTCCCTTGGGGAGGGGGTAAAGTTTACTATAGTTTATATAGGGAAATAACACTTTTGGGTATATTTTGACAACTTTCTGTAGGAAATTATTTTTACTTGGTGAGAATTATCCTTGGAGGTAGATGGTTTCAAATTGTAAAATTGAGATTCCTACCCCGACCCCTGGGGCCAGGGCGGGGCCCCAAAGGGAAAATTAATCAATATTTCAAAAATCTTCTTCTCCAGACTCAGAGGTACTACAGTGATTTTCTCTACGTGGAAAGAAAGATCATCAGGGGCTTTACTTAAATTGTAAATTTCAGGACCCCCGAGCTATCCGTTCTCCCTTGGGGAGGGGGTAAAGTTTACTATAGTTTATATAGGGAAATAACACTTTTGGGTATATTTTGACAACTTTCTGTAGGAAATTATTTTTACTTGGTGAGAATTATCCTTGGAGGTAGATGGTTTCAAATTGTAAAATTGAGATTCCTACCCCGACCCCTGGGGCCAGGGCGGGGCCCCAAAGGGAAAATTAATCAATATTTCAAAAATCTTCTTCTCCAGACTCAGAGGTACTACAGTGATTTTCTCTACGTGGAAAGAAAGATCATCAGGGGCTTTACTTAAATTGTAAATTTCAGGACCCCCGAGCTATCCGTTCTCCCTTGGGGAGGGGGTAAAGTTTACTATAGTTTATATAGGGAAATAACACTTTTGGGTATATTTTGACAACTTTCTGTAGGAAATTATTTTTACTTGGTGAGAATTATCCTTGGAGGTAGATGGTTTCAAATTGTAAAATTGAGATTCCTACCCCGACCCCTGGGGCCAGGGCGGGGCCCCAAAGGGAAAATTAATCAATATTTCAAAAATCTTCTTCTCCAGACTCAGAGGTACTACAGTGATTTTCTCTACGTGGAAAGAAAGATCATCAGGGGCTTTACTTAAATTGTAAATTTCAGGACCCCCGAGCTATCCGTTCTCCCTTGGGGAGGGGGTAAAGTTTACTATAGTTTATATAGGGAAATAACACTTTTGGGTATATTTTGACAACTTTCTGTAGGAAATTATTTTTACTTGGTGAGAATTATCCTTGGAGGTAGATGGTTTCAAATTGTAAAATTGAGATTCCTACCCCGACCCCTGGGGCCAGGGCGGGGCCCCAAAGGGAAAATTAATCAATATTTCAAAAATCTTCTTCTCCAGACTCAGAGGTACTACAGTGATTTTCTCTACGTGGAAAGAAAGATCATCAGGGGCTTTACTTAAATTGTAAATTTCAGGACCCCCGAGCTATCCGTTCTCCCTTGGGGAGGGGGTAAAGTTTACTATAGTTTATATAGGGAAATAACACTTTTGGGTATATTTTGACAACTTTCTGTAGGAAATTATTTTTACTTGGTGAGAATTATCCTTGGAGGTAGATGGTTTCAAATTGTAAAATTGAGATTCCTACCCCGACCCCTGGGGCCAGGGCGGGGCCCCAAAGGGAAAATTAATCAATATTTCAAAAATCTTCTTCTCCAGACTCAGAGGTACTACAGTGATTTTCTCTACGTGGAAAGAAAGATCATCAGGGGCTTTACTTAAATTGTAAATTTCAGGACCCCCGAGCTATCCGTTCTCCCTTGGGGAGGGGGTAAAGTTTACTATAGTTTATATAGGGAAATAACACTTTTGGGTATATTTTGACAACTTTCTGTAGGAAATTATTTTTACTTGGTGAGAATTATCCTTGGAGGTAGATGGTTTCAAATTGTAAAATTGAGATTCCTACCCCGACCCCTGGGGCCAGGGCGGGGCCCCAAAGGGAAAATTAATCAATATTTCAAAAATCTTCTTCTCCAGACTCAGAGGTACTACAGTGATTTTCTCTACGTGGAAAGAAAGATCATCAGGGGCTTTACTTAAATTGTAAATTTCAGGACCCCCGAGCTATCCGTTCTCCCTTGGGGAGGGGGTAAAGTTTACTATAGTTTATATAGGGAAATAACACTTTTGGGTATATTTTGACAACTTTCTGTAGGAAATTATTTTTACTTGGTGAGAATTATCCTTGGAGGTAGATGGTTTCAAATTGTAAAATTGAGATTCCTACCCCGACCCCTGGGGCCAGGGCGGGGCCCCAAAGGGAAAATTAGCCAATATTTTTAAAAAATCTTCTTCTTCAGACTCAGAGGTACTACACTCATTTTCTCTATGTGGAAAGAAAGATCATCAGGGGCTTTATTTAAATTGAAAATATCAGGACCCTGAGCTATCCATTCTCCCTTAGGGAGGGGGTAACGTTAAATATAGTTTATATAGGGGAATAACACTTTTGGGTATATTTTTTATCCATTTTCAGCAGAAAATTGCTCAAACTTAGTCAGAATCATCTTGGGTAAATGAGAGTTTTACTTTGTAAAATTAGGATTCCTGCCCCATCCCCAGGGGCTAGGGCGGGGCCCCAAAGGGAACATTTACCAATATTTTCAAATTCTTATCCATTGATGACATGACAAGTATTGTATTTCACTTAGTTTACATGCTAATTTCCACATCACATCTAAACAATAAAATAAAGCTACCAGTACCTATGATATAACTCAGGTGACCGCTAAGGCCCTTGGGCCTCTTGTTTGTTATTCAAGGGGCCATAACTCCGCCAAATAAAGTATGCTGAAAGTGGTCATCAAACTTGGCCAAGCTATTAAGGCATTTAACCCTGTGACTAAGTTTGAAGAAGATCGGTTAACATTTGTTAAAGTTATTGCACAGAAACGAAGCCCAGCAGATAATGACGTTTTCATTATTCAAGGGGCCATAACTCTGCCAAATGGGGTCCGCTGAAAGTGGTCATAGAACTTGGCTGAGCTCTTAAGGCATTTAACCCTGTGACTAAGTTTGAAGAAGATCGGTTTACATTTCTTGTAGTTATTGCAAGGAAACGAAGCGTGACAAACAGACAAGACAAACCCAAATTAATATCCCCCGTTTCAGTGAAAGCGGGGGATAAAAAGATTAACTAAAAGATATGATTCCTTTCAGCATACCTGAGTAATAGACCAAAAAGTTGGAAAAAAAGAAGACATTGGAAATGAAATAGCAATGGAAAAAAATAAATCTCATTCACTCTACAACGGATCAGTATACCTCCCACCTCCAAATCGGTAAATTGTGGCAATTGACCGATAAGTACGATGACCTACAAAATCTACTCAGATGTAAAACTTGGTGTGGCAATAATATTGTGTAAACATAAACCAAATAATTTTTTGGGTTCGTAAGATATTTTGGGTACAAACTTTCTACCAAGAACAAATTAATGGACACACACAAGCAATCACAGATGCACACTACATATGTACATATATGTATGCTTGTATGCCATAGCATACACTAAAATTTCAAGTATTTTTTTTTCCATATATTTTTAATTAGTTTCTTTTTTATGGACCGTCCTTTTTTATGATTGATAAATCATAAAAAAGGAAAGAATAAAAACAAAATCTTCATGAAAATTTTAGTCTGATAAAATAGTGTTATGTCTGTACACATTGAAAAATCTCAAAATCAAAATCTACTTAGTGAAGTACAAATTTTAATATTATTCACTTAGACTAAAAGGATTTCTTAGAGAACAAGATATTGCATCTAGGTCCTAGTAGAATTGTTTTTTTCCTCCCCCTCCTCCAGTGCTATGCGCCTCGGACGCTCAACCCCCTGTTACCTTACACCCCGAAAAATTATTTGCTACGCCACTGATTACTATGGGTGTATAGGCCTTAACTTCTCTTGTCATCTTTGAAGGGGGTCAAAGTCATTCTCTTGAACAAACTTGATAGCCCTTTATCCCAGCATTTCACTGGCCAATAGCATTACTCTAGGCCTCCTGGTTATTCAGAAGAGGTTGTTTAAAGAAATATGTTGATTCTAAATGCACAACAGATGCCAGACCATGGTATTACAGGTTATTAGCTCACCTGCTCAAAGGGCCATGGTATGGCATCTGTTGTGCATTTACATCGTTAGGTTCTTCACAAAATCAGACAAACAATATCTTTATAACAATGTTTATTAAAATTACAAACAATAGAATAATTTATACATGTAACCTATAGTTTGTTGAGAATTATTTTTGTTTTTTCTGCTTGCGTGTTTGAGTGTTGTTGAAGGCCACCCCAGGTCGTCGAGTCTGGGGTAGGTAGGTAGTGGTGATCTGCTGCATCACAATCATAGACATGCAGGACAGGGCCATGAAACATGCGTACCATGTATAGACGTTGGTCTGCGAGATGAACCAGTCGGACCAGAATGCCAGAATCAGGGTAGCGCTGATTGCTGTAAACAAAACCAGGCCTGATGTAGCATGGTATAACTTTAAATCAACTAGTCGTATCTGGATGTTTAACCAGCGTAATATACCACTATATTTTAATAGTATTCCTCCGATCATCTGGAGGAGAACGTAGGATAGGGTGAGCACGCCCATGAAGCCATGCCATGATGTGAAGTGGTTTTTGTGGTTCATGTCTTTGTTGATGTAGATGGCTGCGAAGCCACAGGAGGCACAGATTGCTGCTACGCCCATGACCCAAGCGTGCACCTCGGCCTTATAGGCACGTGTTTGGGACAGGATCATGGAGCTCTGTCCAGAGAACACAAGGATAGCCTCAAACATCAGCAGCACAAACTGCAAAAGGGACAACACCAAACATGAAATAATTGTCCGGCACTGATAAACACATAAAATAGGTATCTATTTACATTAAGACACTTTCAGGTTCATGTAAAGTTTAAGTGAGTGGCTGTTATATATTTGATAGTATAAAAGTATTTGAAGTCTTTGTGATTGGCCGTATATGATCCATTTGTCACTCTTATGGGTTCATATGAAGTCTCGTTAGTGACGTATTTGATATATCTTTCGGTGTTGAGGTTCATGTGAAGTCTTGGTGAGTGACTGATGTATTTGTCAGAGTAAAGGTTCATACAAAGTATAGGTGAGTGGCTGTAGGTGATATATTTGTCAGTGTAAAGGTTCATACACAGTATAGGTGAGTGGCTGTAGGTGATATATTTGTCAGTGTAAAGGTTCATACACAGTATAGGTGAGTGGCTGTAGGTGATATATTTGTCAGTGTAAAGGTTCATACACAGTATAGGTGAGTGGCTGTAGGTGATATATTTGTCAGTGTAAAGGTTCATACACAGTATAGGTGAGTGGCTGTAGGTGATATATTTGTCAGTGTAAAGGTTCATACACAGTATAGGTGAGTGGCTGTAGGTGATATATTTGTCAGTGTAAAGGTTCATACACAGTATAGGTGAGTGGCTGTAGGTGATATATTTGTCAGTGTAAAGGTTCATACACAGTATAGGTGAGTGGCTGTAGGTGATATATTTGTCAGTGTAAAGGTTCATACACAGTATAGGTGAGTGGCTGTAGGTGATATATTTGTCAGTGTAAAGGTTCATACACAGTATAGGTGAGTGGCTGTAGGTGATATATTTGTCAGTGTAAAGGTTCATACACAGTATAGGTGAGTGGCTGTAGGTGATATATTTGTCAGTGTAAAGGTTCATACACAGTATAGGTGAGTGGCTGTAGGTGATATATTTGTCAGTGTAAAGGTTCATACACAGTATAGGTGAGTGGCTGTAGGTGATATATTTGTCAGTGTAAAGGTTCATACACAGTATAGGTGAGTGGCTGTAGGTGATATATTTGTCAGTGTAAAGGTTCATACACAGTATAGGTGAGTGGCTGTAGGTGATATATTTGTCAGTGTAAAGGTTCATACACAGTATAGGTGAGTGGCTGTAGGTGATATATTTGTCAGTGTAAAGGTTCATACACAGTATAGGTGAGTGGCTGTAGGTGATATATTTGTCAGTGTAAAGGTTCATACACAGTATAGGTGAGTGGCTGTAGGTGATATATTTGTCAGTGTAAAGGTTCATACACAGTATAGGTGAGTGGCTGTAGGTGATATATTTGTCAGTGTAAAGGTTCATACACAGTATAGGTGAGTGGCTGTAGGTGATATATTTGTCAGTGTAAAGGTTCATACACAGTATAGGTGAGTGGCTGTAGGTGATATATTTGTCAGTGTAAAGGTTCATACACAGTATAGGTGAGTGGCTGTAGGTGATATATTTGTCAGTGTAAAGGTTCATACACAGTATAGGTGAGTGGCTGTAGGTGATATATTTGTCAGTGTAAAGGTTCATACACAGTATAGGTGAGTGGCTGTAGGTGATATATTTGTCAGTGTAAAGGTTCATACACAGTATAGGTGAGTGGCTGTAGGTGATATATTTGTCAGTGTAAAGGTTCATACAAAGTATAGGTGAGTGGCTGTAGGTGATATATTTGTCAGTGTAAAGGTTCATACAAAGTATAAGGTGAGTGGCTGTAGGTGATATATTTGTCAGTGTGAAGGTTCATACACAGTATAGGTGAATGGCTGTAGGTGATATATTTGTCAGTTTAAATGTTCATGTTGGGTCTTGATTAATGGCAATAAATATATTTTTCAGTGATAAGTTCATGTACAGTTTTTAAACATGGATAAAATAGACGAAAAGTTTATAACAACCTTCTAAGGAAAATATCATTAGAAATATCTTCTAGCACATTAAAGCCTGAAACATGTTTACGAAAATTTTATTACAACCTGCTAAGGAAAATATCATTAGAAATATCTTCTAGCACATTAAAGACTGAAACATGTTTCTTTAATATACAGAATCCACGATATATGACTCTTTACTCGATACACTGTAGTAGGTGATTTAAAATAAGGATATAACAAGGCATCACAAGTGTTACAAATCCCCTTGCAAAATCACACATTGTGTGCCATATTTATGAGGAAATGAATAGAAAATTCAATGATGTAACAGTAACTGCTCTAGCGACTGTATCTGTTGAACTTATTGTCAGGGCAAACAATTGTATCTAGAGCGATGACAAAGTTTTTCTAAAAATAGTAACAGTGACCTTGACCTTCAACGTATTACTACATTTAGAGGATAGTATTTCCATAATATTAGAAAACAGACTAATAGGTACACAAAAACTTTCTTAGTATTTCTTACCGCTACTGTCATCAAGGTTGGATGCCAGGAGAACAGACCTACAAATAAAAAAGAGGTTAAGATCAGTACAAAGCTCTGACATTAACCTTACTGGAAGTCACTGTAGAATGAGGTAACTGTCTGTAATTATCCATCTCTGACTGATATACCGCAACAATTTAATACCAGCCACATTTTGGTATTAGTTAATTGTGTTAACCCTAGATAATAAACAATTAACACAATACAAGTCTACCCGACAAGTTTATAGTGCAGACAAGCATGGTGGACTATTATAGACCTATAATACATTGGTGAAATAATGAGAAGTACAGGACACTGGCGATTAGGTTTTAAATGATTTAAGATATTTTTAACTTAGGTAACCACAAAGTTTTAAAAGGCCCTTTTGATATGGAATGTGTAGTTGTTTTTGTTTTTTTGTTTTCTAAACAGCAAAGAGTCATATTTTGAACCCTTCTGACGTCATCTTGGAAGAAACTGATATTAAAATAATGATATGTAACAAGATCTTTGATGATATGAAGTTGGAAAACATACTTCACCAGCCAAAGAAATATTAGTTTTACAAATTTGTTATACAGATGGCCTTCCCTTACCCTATCTCAAAAAAAATGTGGTGAAATGCAGCAACCCGATTTTACTACATGTGCTTGTTCATCTGATTCTGATCACATTAATGCCAGAAGATTTGATAAACTAGAAAATGTCTGTAAGACATAAATGCCCCCGCTGCCATGTGAAATTAGTTTCAGTGTTCTATAAAAAGTTACAACAACTTTGATCTTGATACCCTGAAACATGCACACACACAAGGTACTACACTTAAAGTCGATTTTAATATTCATATGTTTTTTTGTATGTTATTATAATCATCTCCATAACATATTGAATGAAGTTACTAAGTGTTTAAATTGAATCAGTTGATGATTTTCTATAGCAAGCAACATTGACCTTGGCCTTGACCTTGGAACCCTGAAACGCAACAATGTCCGAAGTATACTCATACTTGACCTTTGCATAAAGTTTGAGCAAAATCCATGAAAGAATGAAGTTGCTTAGTGTTTAAATTGAATCAGTTGATGATTTTCTATATATAGCAAGTGTGACCTTGGCCTTGACCTTGGATCCCTGAAACACAACGATGTCCGAAGTATACTCATACTTGACCTTTGTATAAAGTTTGACCAAATTCTGTAAAAGAATAAAGTTGCTCTGTGTTTACATTGAATCGGGATGGGAAGCGACAGGACGTGACAGGACGGGACGGACATGGGCAACACTATATGCCCCCCCCCATTTTATGGCAAGGGCCAAAAAAGATGGAACTTTATGCGATCACATGGTAAATCTAAACCATTGGATGGATTGACAGTCATTGTTATAATAGGTACTAGCCGGAGTAGTCGTTTCACTCAGTCCTCGCCATTACGGTACCAATCGGCAGAGTGTACTTGACCTGTTGGTACAGTAATGACCCAGGACTGAGTGAAACGACAGCTAGTACCCCGGCTAGTTAAATCTGAGAAAATATAGCTCAAAACAGCTGTAATTTATAGGTGAATATAGCTATATGACCTTACTTATAGCTGTATTGAGCTATATTTTCTCAGATTTCAATTTGCATTAATTAAAGCAAAGTCGCATAAAACAATAAGGTTTATGGTAATGTTGATTACAAAAAGCATACATTTAGATGTTTATTTTTATTTTTGATTCATAAATTATGTAGAATTCCTGATTTTTTTAAGAATACTTAAGTTTAATGTCTTGTTATCAACCTCATGATAAAATCTTCTTTTAAAAGCAACTTTGTTTCGTTTTCCTTAAAAAAGAAGATCACATGAAAATAGCTCTCAAGACCTATTTTAGATACCTGTATGTCAGTAGAGCTATTACAGGTCTATACAAATACAGGTATATAGCTCAATCGGCAGAGTGTACTGGACCTGACCAAGATGTATTGGTACTTGTACATAGCCGTTTTGGTTCTTCCATTCCTTTCGATATTTTTAAGATTTTCAGCACTTGATCTAAAATTCCAACTTTGTACTTCGTTTGACTTTTTTCCTTAATTTTGCTATTTCATATTTTTAGGATTCCCCAGCACTTTTTCGTCTTTACAAAAAAACTACCAAAATAACTAATTCTTAAATACTGTACTGACTAGTGTAAGTCAAATGCACTCACTGTAATCTAATAATGCCCTGTTTTAATGCTTATATATTTACATGCATACACAACTTGCAGTGTCTATATAATCTGTAGAAGCAACCTGTTTTACTAGAATATTCTACGTTATCTAAGGTGACAGTACCCAAATCGGATCACCAAACCATCATTTTATTAAATCATTGAAAAATCTGAGGAGGAATTATATTCATTTATGGTTGCATAAAAGAACCAAAAGGAAGAATATCGATGGGTGTTCTTACAAATGAAATTCGCTCCCGGGGCTCACTTGAGTATTTATAGAACGCTCCGAAGTCACCAATCAGCGTCTCTGTTTTTTGCGAATGTCAGGACCAAAATAGGATCAAGGCTTGAATTTTGTAGTAGCTTAAGCAGTTACGCTTCAAATTTCTATAGTGTGAATTTATTCCTATAGTCCCAAACAGAATGCATAGTCATCGCACACGCCATTTTTTTTTAAAACGGGATCATAACACTGACATTTGAGTTTAAATTACGATTTCTTGTGCTATTTGAACTTAAAAACTAATCATCTGCAGACAAAAAATGGTTCATGGCTATCTATTCTAAGACTACATCATTGGTGGTAGGTAAATCTTGTACCCCGTTCCCGGACCCGGACTGAAACCCCGTACCGGGAATATAAAGATATTTTAATATCTCATTAACGCGATCGTTTATAATTTTTAAAAAAATATAGAATAATTTCAAACATTATTTTCTAAATGTGACAATTACAAAAATGTTTATTTATTATCTAATAATTTAGAAATCGACGATAATGTGTTTTTCAAGGGGGTAAAACTTGTACGCCGCAGTCAACCGTGAAAATCACGGTTTTTCACATATAACTAGAAATTTAGGGAAAATTAACATGTTATTTTCAGATATATAGAAGAAAATNACGATCTGTTAAATCTCTAATTCCAAATTTATCAAAAGGTAATCAAATAATAGTGTTGGATATAGGGAATCGGCGATAAAAAATCCCTAGAGGAGTTGATAACAAACTATGTGGCGGATATCATGTGTTACGTACAAAATAATTTAAAGACACAGTTTCCTAATATAGGCGGAATGCAAGATACAGGTTATGCTCCAATTTTGAAAAACAATAAGTGGGACTATGCACTCAGAATGAAACCAACTAGCGCTGCATCAGCACAAATTCATCAAACAGGTGAGGACCATTGGGTAGTGTCAGTACAGGAGGTAGATAGTGGGGAAGTATACATTCTTGATAGTTTGATAGGAAATACAAAAAATAAGGGTCATTTGTCAGCTTCTTTAGAAATGCAGTTGTCATCATCATATGGGGAAAATATATATATATAGTTAAAAAAAATATGGGCTCTTATGTAGAACTGCGTCCGCGTCGCAGAGCCTGGTAACATTCTAATAGAATGGCTAAGAGTTCTACTTGATAACGACAGCTTGACAGAGTGATGTCCCCTTAGTACGGGTACGGGAGTAAACAAAACACCCGTGATCCTCGCCCGCGATCACAACAAAATCAGAATTTCATGTGAAATATGTCGTTTATTTCAACGAAACTTACATAATTATAAACAGTAAGGTATTTTCTACTATATATCTAAAAATAACATGTTAATTTTCCCTAAATTTCTAGTTATATGTGAAAACCCGTGATTTTCACGGTTGACTGTGGCGTACAATTTTTACCCCCTTGAAATACACATTATCGCCGATTTCTAAATTATTAGATGATAAATAAACATTTTTGTAATTGTCACATTTAGAAAATAATGTTTGAAATTATTCTATATTTTTATAAAAAAAATATAAACGATCGCGTTAATGAGATATTAAAATATCTTTATATTCCCGGTACGGGGTTTCAGTCCGGGTCCGGGAACGGGGTACAAGATTTACCTACCACCTACATCATTGTTATAACTGATATATATTGACACATTTCCGAATGTAGCACACTCAACATTATATACAATGTCATATATTCCTGTATACTTCCAGGTCAATATATTTTATCAAATATTGGCAGAACCACGGAATTATATGAGTTATCTAAGTCCGTGGCAGAACAAAATAAAAAGATAGGCCGTTCCACCGGTCGATGACCATCGACCCTGGACGATGGACCCGGATATCGTCGTGTAACACCAATTCAATGATAAAAACGACCAATCCATACGATCGATGGGTAAGTTTGTAACACACTTACTAGAACCAGGAACTGCAGTGTAGACCATAAAGGCCGTCAACAATGTGGCTGCTATGTGAGCTACCATGACTGCTGATTCTGGCGGCGTCGTCGTCAGCAGACAACAAATTCTGCGACCTCAACGTCAAAATTCAGCTTATCTCATCTGGCATGAAATGACTTAGGCATCAAACATTTTGACGACCCCTGTAATATATTTCACGGGGTGTAATTTGACCATGCTGATTTTAGCTGGGTACAATTGCCAACATCATTTTGTAACGTACATTTATAATTATGTGATAAAGGTGAAAAAATCCCTATTATATTATAAATCATGTCATTTTAACTGTTTATCAGCTTTATTGGCTGCTTGATTATGGTTACACAAAGGACTGATATAGCATCTTACATTCAATGGCGTAGCATACATGTAAGTTATGTTCAATAATTTTATATTTATGTTCAATAATTTTATATTTATGTTCGAAATTTTATATTTGTATTCAATAATTGTTAATATATGTGCAATAATGCATATAATTGTAAATGTAGGTGCACGTTTGACACGCCATGTGTAAGCTTGTATGCTCAGTCAAGCATAAAAAAGGAAAGAATAGACAAAATCTTCTTTTAAATTTAGTCTGTTAAAACTTAAAGAGTGTTGTTATGTTTATACACAGCGAAACATCTTAAAGTTTATGAAAGACAAAAACTACTTAGTGAGGTACACAATTTATATTATTCATATAAAATGTCAAGTTAATTATCAGAAAACGAGAGATTGCTGTAAGGGCCTAGAAGAATTGTGGGTGTTTTTTTCAGCTGTGGGAACTCCTCCTCCCACGACATTGTAGTCGTATGGAAAAAAAACATCACTTATTTCGAGACACATTGCTGACGTACTTATTTCAGCGCTCTCAAAATTTAGCGCATTATTGAATCTAAACAGAGCGCATTTGGTAAAAGAGCTGAAATAAGAAAATCGCTAAAACATGTAACTTTGCAGAAATTTCTGCTACAACAATAGTTATGTAAAACGTTAATGATAAAGGCACTTTACTTTATTATTGATTATTTCGTTCATAATGTCAATTAAATGGAAAAAACCTTCCAATTGAAAGTAGACTTAAACAATATTAAACGTATAGTTTCCATTGAACGAACAATTTTAAGGTCGGAAAATGAAATGAGAATCATAGATTTGGGAGTTTCGGCTAAATTTGCTCCCCATAACCTAGCACAAAATATCGCTCCCTTTCGTCATAGAAGTTACATGTTTAACATATATATACCTAAACAGAGTTTGATATATCAATGCGGTGTAACGGACTAGCCAGCATGTCTGAAGAGTTATTCCATACAAGTACATATAGTACTGCCAGTGAAATATTCATGGGTGATGTTTCGACTTTAAAAATGTACGAGACAGCAATCGAATTAACAAGTCGAATCGACCACTCTTTAACCGTATGTACACTTAGGCGTTAACAATGTCCGAGATGACTATCGAATCGGCAAATTGATTCGGTTACGCAATCTGTAAAACATTTTAGTATATGGTGACCATCATCTTGATTAGCCCTACTGTGGCGTACCCAGATGGTTCCTTTAACTGCAGTTTGAACATGTTGTTTTCTCTCTCCACCACTTCTGAATTATCCCGTCAATTACAATAGTTTGCTCTATGATTGCCGAACTATCTATCTTGAACTCAGACTACGCCTCTCTAGCTTGACGAATTTCTGTCTCTCTCGGCTTTGCGTGTCTTTCCAGTGTTCACCAAGACGGACGCCAAACCATGTATTGCATTCTGCGACGTTTTATTAACGTTTGTGTGTTCGTGCGTGCGCGTGGTTTCTATTCTGTTCTCTTCGTTAGATTTAAGGGTGAACGTCGATGTTTCGGAGCGTCTTGTGGGGATTCTGTTATTGTTGTGCCATGGCCGCAATATATCCGTTTAATGGTTTTGGATAATCCCTTCAAGGAATGACAACATGATTTTTGTTGTTCTCCTTAATCTTATATTGTTTGATTACCCTCTTGGAGTGCCCGTTCTAAATATTCACATTCATTACTCCACTGTTGTGCCTTTGTTTTGGTTTTTGTGTTGTTTTTATGTCATATATATCTGTTGAGCAACAACTCCTACTGCAAGGGCAATGAGACTCGAGGGTACGTGTGGGTCTTATTCCTATAGACCCATTCTTTTTATCTGATATGAGAGGCGTCAAGGTGGGGCATTGTGTTCTTGAGTTCTTCCCCACACATGAGTTTGACTATGTATGTGGAATCCAAGGTGTTGATATGTGTTTTCAAACCGTTGAGTGACCATTTTCTTTGCGAGCTTTAAGTATTTAGTCAATATATCGCACCCACAAGCTCGACTCACACTCCGTCTTGAACTGACCTCTCATTGAAATAAGACCCGTTGAGTTGACCAACTGACGATATATTTCGTTCTTGTAGGTTTTACAATCTAGATTCCTGTGTCAATATGGAAAAAACAGTAACAAGTACGGTCAAAACATACTTCAATTGATTTTGAATATTATTTTGTGGCAAGAAATGACATCCGAAGAGAATCACATGTCATATTGATTTGACAGCGGGAACCAACGGTTGTTCCCGTGAAGATAGCAACGAAACAACAGTTTGATAAGGCAAACGTACCACAAAATCTCAAAATCTGGTCTTGGCTACTAGACTTTGGATTTGCAACGAGAGAAGGAGGTCCATTTTTTTCTTTTTGCAAAATTTCCGATCCTGTAGTGCACCTCACATTTTATCGCCTCGTGCTATCATGCAGTTGGATGCAGCATGTTAGTGATATCACGGAGCTGCTTTTCCGCGCTTCCATCCGGGCCAATAAGAGTGATTATAAATTAGGTGAAATTACTTGTTTTGTAAAATGTAAAATAAATAAAGTTTATGATTTGTTTGTACTTTTTTGTTTAGCTTGGTAATCTAGAACAATATGGGTTCAGCATCTAGTTAAGACGCAAGAAGATCGGTAAGCAGTTCCGCACGCGGTTAAACCCTACGACCGTTCTGTCAGTAGACTCACCAACGGACTGTGCTATTCTGTCCCATGTATAAGACATAACTGGAGATATGAAAGTGATCGACCAGATGACAAGGCTTAAATTTACTTGATAGTGTAACGCGTTTTATTTGTGCCGATTGGGTCGTTCTCCTATGATCCTATCAATTCTTTTTGTAATATTCATGAGAAGATATACATCTTTGTGCGTTCTTAAATGTTCCACATGATCGGTTATCGACAAGAAATAACCTATGGTGATGGGAATTTCTGCCAAAGACAACACAAATAACCGGTTTCCAAGGGAAGTCGGCCGTGTGTCAAGCAGCATGTAACGTAACGTCTACGTCAGTGTGAAAATCAGTTACGACCCAAGTGCCCGGTAAGTTAACAACAGGGTACTGTGGAGAGTAAGTGAACTGCTGTCGTCTGATGATGGCGGAAATAAAAACATGAATACGTCAAAAAACAATATCGAGAGGACCAGACCCCGTTTGACTTATCGGACAAACATGATGACGAAATACTACGTGTTGACTTTTTTTCTTCTGCTTCTTCCCATGTGTCTCCCTGTGGTCAATGCTCGGTCCATGAACGAAGCTAAGATAAACGTTACTGGGTCTGTATTTGCCGATCTGACCCCATACGGATTCCAGCAATGTGCCAGGGAGTGTAAGAAATCGGGGTACTGCCAGGCTTTCGAATTTGAAAGGGTACACTTGCGCTGTATGCTCATATGGAATGGTGAGTTTTCTACTCGATTCTCCCCGCCTGTTCAAACGACCGTTTTCGGTGTGGCAGGGGTGAATGTGTATGGGAAATACGCCCCTGAGGTAAGTTGATCCATGACTTATATATGAATTCGATTGAATTTCTTGACATTTTTTTCTGAAATGTTGCAAACATTGTTTAATTTGTCGCATATTTTTTCTCGACTTTTTGAATTATCAGCATTGACTTGCACCCTTGGAACACGTGTGTAATAAACGGAGACAATAAACCGTATTACCAATTCTTGATGGTTCTCATCTGTTCACTAACGTTTAGACATGATGTCATTATGCGTTCAAGAAACCATGACTACGTGATTTGATTATCCTCATTTTTTCAGCTGAAAGAAGGAATTAATGCTCAAACTGTGGTCACGTTTAAATCTCGTAAACCATCATGTTTAGTTAGTAGCGAACCCCAAAGGGACAACTGCAACCGAGTGACAACCATTTATTTAATTTTGTATCGTCGTGTTTCAAACATACAGATCCCCAAACAATGCGTGCAAAACAACACGTGATCATAAAAATAACTTTCTGTTGAAGGAATTGCCGCCCAATGAAAGCTGTCCCGCTGATAGCAAGTTGATCATGGCCCGCAGCGGCGAAGCTGTCTGTGTAAAAGGTACCGTGCTTGTTGTTATGGGCTTTATCATAGAACATTGATGAATGCAATGACTTTTCTGTTGTTGTTTTGGGAACACTTTCACTTTACACCATCAAAACACGTAAACATTATTAGATGGAACACTGCTATACGGTTATGAAAATGATTACTTGCGTTATATCAAAGTTTTACTTTCTACACAAACAATGTACGTATTAAACGTGTCGCAACGTTTCAAGACCAACTGGTCCCTTTGTCATTCTATGACTGAGTGAACTCGTGTATTACTTGTGTTGTATCCGCCTTNTAAATCACTACTGCTTTTTCATGGTTTATATACTACTCCGAACAGTTTTGACGGGAAATTTCGTTTCACAAGCTTCAAATAGACGATTTAATTGTAAAGCTTTATTTATCAATAATTATGAAACAATTTCTATTACATACTTACACTAAAAAATACTACGGTGTTTTTGTGTGTATACGATACGACACAATTGCTCTAACCCATATTAGCCCTTGCCGTATCACACCCCCAAACCTGCATCAGCCCTTTCCGTATCAGCCCGCGAAACCCGTATCACACCCCTTTTGGAAATTTGGGTATTGGATTGATACTGGTTGTGATTATGGAAAAAGGCATGTTTTATTCTCTTTTTACGCCAGAAACAATAACATGATACTCATTTTAAGGTAGGATCAGGTAGCTACGATCTATACACACCTAATTACATAATCGATGTTG